ACACACCGAGCAGATGTGTTCAAGCACCAGGGAAGGGGGGCGGGGGCAAAGGTCAATGAGGCTCAGGACGCAGAGGATGTCAGTCTGAGTCAGGCCCTTCTCTCTTGAACATCAGTTTTTTATGGCGGGAGGTAGACTGCCCCTTCTTAGACTTCAGGTGGCTGTGGGTAGGCAGAGGGGTAGGGGAAGAGATGACATCGCATGAGTGAGAGACCCTGGGCCCGGAGCATGGGGAATTTAAGCTAAAATGGTCAACAGTGGCAGAAATGATTACTGAGTGCCTCGGGGTGCTCCTATGCATTTCTCTCTTCATCCTCCCTTACCCTATTTGACAAACAAGGAAACTGAGCCTAAGAGGGAAAGGAACAAGCCCATGCAGGACTTGCCAGTACTCGGCAGGGTTATGGATCTGACCCTTCACCCTGGCTGTGTCCAACACTTCCACACAGTCACCAGGTTCCTATTCTGAGACCCTAGCTGAGCTAGAGGTTGCTGGAAATGGCAAGAAATATCCATGAGCATCCCTGGGCTTGAGGGCTTTGTGGACTCCTTGAGGCAGGAAAGTGGTTGTTAAGATACAACTGGAATACTAAAGAATGTCTGAGCAGGGCGGGGACCCAATGAGAGGGGGGGGTCAGTTGTCTTTTACCTTGAAGGTAGGATTAGAATGGAACCCCATGACTTTCCAACATGGGAAGGCAATGGGGTGGGGCTGGGAGGGGACCCAAGACACTCGCCTGGAGTGGGCCCTGCTACCCCCGGCCTCTTTTCCAGTCTGGGCATCCTTCAGCTCCAAGGCTTCATTCAGCTCTCTGAACATCTCAAAGCGTTCACGCCCACGGATCTGTGGCAGGGAAGGAAGGGGATAAAGGAGTATTAGGCAAAGTCAGAGAACCATTTTCATGCTCTTTTGAACAATTTTCTCTTTGAAAGATGGTCCTCCAAAATGTATGGTAGCGTGCCAGTTGGGATTCTGAAGTTAGGCCAGAACCAGAAGCCCCTGTCTCCAGGTACCACTGCCTTGAAGGCAGATGTCCTAATAGTAGGAAAAGCAGTCAATAAGAAAAATAGTATTGTGAGTGTTGACTTGAAATTTAAATCTTCAACCCAATAGCATTAACTGTAAGAGTCAAGGTCAGTAACAGGGGAAAGGATGGATAGAAGAAACGGACCTAAGCTCATATTTGCTGCATTTATATCTTCTCTCATTCAGTCCCACAGAAGGGGAAGAGTGGGGTGGATTGGGTAAGACTTGGTACCTGAAGGGTAAAATATTCTCCGTCCAGTGGCTTCTTCTTTTGTGAGGGAGAGGAACTGGAGTTGCTGGGCAGTGCTGGGAAAGAGGTAAGGAAAGGGAGGAAAAAAGATGAACTTTGGGCCAGACCACACACTCTCCGCCTTCTGCCCCATCTGCTTACCTCGCTTGGTGCTCCCAGGGGGTGGCTCGGGGCGGGGCTCCCCTTTCTTGCGGGAGTTTTCTTCCTCTGTGCGCCGATCTCTCCCAGGACAGGCACAAACACGCACCTCAAAGCTGTTCCGTCCCAGCAGATTGCCACTACCCAGGTGAGGGGGAGTAAAGTGGAGGAAAGCAGGAGGCAGTGAGGAGGGTGGGCCCCGGTTCCTCCTGACTGCCCGCATCCTGCGTGGAGCCTAAGCCCCAGCTCTAGGCATGTTGAGAAGCCACAGGAGACAGGTCCTCAGGCTACAGCAAACTGGGAGGGAGCAGCAGAGCAGAGTCCGTACACAGGGACGGAGGTGAGTGGGATGAAGGGGTGGTAGCACGGGAGAGAGCCCTGGGGTCAGGTGGCCAACAGGTCCTCACCTGGAGTCCTCCAGTGTGATGATGGTGAGGATGGGCCGCCGGTTCATGCCACCCATGCAGGAACTGTTACACATGAAGTTGTAGTGGATGGTGGTACAGTCAGAGCCGACCTGGGAGAGAGGCACAAGGTAAGGCAACCCAGCCTCTGCAGGCCTGCAGCCTCTGTAAACCTCATTTTTCTCAACTATAGTATGGGGACAGCCTATGTGCTCTGCACACCTCACATTGCTGTGGGGACGTCAAATAAGAAAGCAGGAGAACCTTCTTATTAGCAAGAACCACCCCTATCTCCGACCAGGATGGCCACTGACAAACCCCTCCAGCCCCCTCCTCCCAGAGACCCCAGTTGCCAAACCAGACCTCAGGTGGCTCATAAGGCACCACCACACTATGTCGAAAAGTGTTCCTGTCATCCAAATACTCAGCACGCAAATTTCCTTCCACCCGGATGAGATGCTGAGGGGGGGCCAGACCTGAAAGCAGTAAAGGAAGAATTAGGGGCTTAGGGACTTGGGGATAGGAGACAGGGCCCTGTCCCATCTCCCACCTGCGGCTCCGACCACTCACCATCACTGTAGTCAGAGCAGCGTTCATGGTGGGGGCAGCGCCTCACCACCTCTGTCATGTACTCTGACTTTTTGTAGATGGCCATGGCGCGGACACGGGTGCCGGGCGGGGGTGGCGAGCTGACCCACAGCTGCACTGGGCAGGTCTTTGCCAGCTGGCAAAACAGTTTGTTGAGGGAAGGGGAGTACTGGAGGGAAAGAAGGGGAAAGAATGAAAGGACAGTCAGGGACAAGTGCCCAGGGGGTCAAATGAACAGACACTGCTTAAGCACTGACTGGAAGCCATGTACTGAGTGCGGGGAGGGTAGCTAGCGATGGCAGGGTCAGGGTCGACATGCCAGAAGCCTATTTACAAAAGCCAACGAATGAATGCGAGTGAAGAAAAAAGAAGAAAAATTCCATGGCTCCATGACAGATGCTGAGCGTTAGGATGGGAAGGATGAAAGCGTAAGGTCAAGGGAGCAAATTCTACTTTGAGAGAGAGGCCAGAGGTCACAGACTGAATAGGTAAAAATGGAGAAGGCCTGACAAGCCAAAGGGTGAAGAGGAATCCCAAAGTGAGGAACAGAAAACCCAGGGGGAATATAGTCGGGCTTCAAATAGTCAGGTGGAAGCCAGCCCTCGGGGCCACTGACCGTGCAGGTAACAGACTTGGCTGTCCCGGAATGCAGGAACCCTAAATGGAAACCATATCTGCCAGGGTAGGTCTTCTGGGAAGGGACAAAGGATGACAGGGGCCATGAAGTGGCTGATGCCGGGGCTGCTGGTGCAGGAGCTGCTGGTGCAGGAGCTTCATCTGGACCTTCTCCTAACCAGTTCACAATGTCTTCTGTGGACAGCAGCAGTTTGTCCACCTCTGGGGACAGTGGGGACAGCTCAGAGGACTGTGGAGTGGAGAAGCAAGAGTGAGAGGCCAGGTCCCAGCCCCCTGGCCCTGCACCCCCTGGTCCCACCTCAGTTCTTACCAGCACATTGTTTTCGGGAAGTCTGAAAGACAAGAGCAGAAAGTCAGTACTGGTTTTTGCTTTCCACAGGCCTCTGCTAGAGGGCTGGGACTGGGGTGGGAGGGGCAGTGGTTATTAGAGGCTGGCAGCGGACCTGCCCCTCCCTTGGGATCTCCACTTACAGTTTCCACAAGTCTGAAAAGGTCTCCTGGCTCAGAGGGGGCTCAATGTTGAGTTCTGACTGCTGATGCTCCATTTCAGCTCCCCTGAAGGCAGCGTGGCTGCTGTGGGGACGGGGTGGGGGGGTGGGGGTGCTTGGTGGCGGGTGAGATGCTGGTCAGTAAGGGAGCTTCATGGTGACCATTCTGTAGGAGAGGGAATGAGTTTCAAGAGCTCTGGTTTCCCAAGGCCCTGGTGAGCGGTGAGAGACGGTGAAGTTAAAGGTCTCTAAAAGAGGTGGTTCCAGCAACACAGAGAAGACAAGTAGTGATTTTACAGCATCTCACTACGCTGATGGACAGTGACTAATGGGGTATGTGGGGGGGACTTGGTGAAGGGGGGAGCCTAGTAAACATAGTTCCTCATGTAATTGTAAATTAATGAGACCAAAATAAAAACAAACAAACAAAACAACACAAAACAAAACAAAAAAAGAGGTGGTTCCAGCTTTTCTGGGGAGTGTTTGGCATTCCCCAGAGAGAGAAAAAAAGGTAGCTTTGAGGCCAGGGAGGCTGGTGACTTCACAGCCATCTGGGATCCTCAGGCAAGCCAAGGGATGCCCACGGGCATTTGATGCTGGTTAAGGCCGAGGACAGTGGCCCCAGAAGCCCCTCTGGATCTTAGCACCCCACCCTCTGTCCCCAGTGAGGAGGCAGGACGAGCCGTCTCCTCTCTCTGACCACCCCTCCAAGCACTGGCTTGGGCAGCCATGGGAGATGGGGAGAGCTTGCCCCAGCCCCCCACCCTGGGAGCCAGCAGTACTGAGGAACAAGACGGGTTGGGGGTACTGAGCTCCCCAACCTCGGCTCCCTTCTTTACCCTAAGAAGTCCTTTGAAAGGTTTTCCTGGCAGAGTCTAAAGCTTCAATTCATTCAACTGCCTGGCATGAGGCCCAGGATGAGGGGATGCCGGGAAGGCCCCAGCCCCGCATCCCAGCCCTCACCTTAGCCACCCCCACGTTCTGGGACCCTGTCTGGCAGGCCTCCCCAGCTCTCTCGCCTCACCTAGTAGCACCCACCCACCTTCTTTCCCCTGGGGAACTCAGGTATTCTGTCCCTTTCCTATGGAGCAGATGGCCACCCCAGACACTCGAGCTTACTATGTCAGACATTTAAATCCCATAATCCTTGGTAAGAGGCTGCTGAGGGGGAAGCAGCCCAACCCTAGAAGCAGGGGCAGGAGAGAACCTTGTGCCAGTCCTGGCAGGAGGGGGGAGGGCCAGTTGGTTCCCGAGTTATGAATGGACTTCTCTCCTCCCTTGTTGTCATGCAGCCTGCGGACTGACCCAGTCTCCTGCTTTTGTTCTCCTCTCGGAATCCCGGCATTGGGCCCCTTAGCCCACACTCCCTGGAGGCTCAGGTGGCTGTCACCCAGTGTCCCCCCCTTACTCACCCCTGTACCGTCAGCCCCAAGCAGTCTGCACTGGCACCTACTCCTCAGACACACAGGTGGTAGCAAAGTTTTATTGTAAAATGAGAAATCAATATAAAAACAGGATATAAAAAGGGAAGAGAAGGGATGTGGGTGACAAATGCAGACGAGCCTTGCAGAGTGCAGAAGAAATCGACCCTGAGCGTGGGGCAGTAATACAGATCTTGGTAAATACAGATCCTACACCAAGGACAGCATCCTCCAGGATGTGGGATGGGGTAAGATTTCCTCTTAGGTGCTGAGGCTCACCAAGAGGTTAGATGGGCAGGGAAGGGGGTTGGAAATTCCTTTCCCTTAACAGCTGCCCAGTCAGAGAAACCATCAACCTATCCACCAATGGGCACAGGGAACTAGCACCCAGGAAGGCACCAAGTCCCAGACATTATGGAATGAATGGTCGTTTTGGGGCCAGACATACATACATTATTTCAATAACCCTCACAGCAAACCTGGTGAGGTAGGCATGATCCTCAGTATTTTATAAAAGTGGACAATGAAGACAGAAAAACAACTAATGAGTATGGCAGAGAACTGGGCTTCCGACCCAGTATATGGCTGGTTCTAAAATGTTCCTTACACGCAGGAACATTTCCCTACCTCTCCCAGTGATCCTCACAGTAAAAACCTTAAAAGCGGGCTGGAATGCTCCCACTTCTCCCACCTCCCCCTAAAAACCATCAGTGCTGGCCGACTTCTTTAGCAGAGCCCCGGGCCAGGGCAAACCAAAGGATCCCAGGGGGTTTCTGAGGCACACCTGTAAGAAGCAGAGTAACACACCGAGCAGATGTGTTCAAGCACCAGGGAAGGGGGGCGGGGGCAAAGGTCAATGAGGCTCAGGACGCAGAGGATGTCAGTCTGAGTCAGGCCCTTCTCTCTTGAACATCAGTTTTTTATGGCGGGAGGTAGACTGCCCCTTCTTAGACTTCAGGTGGCTGTGGGTAGGCAGAGGGGTAGGGGAAGAGATGACATCGCATGAGTGAGAGACCCTGGGCCCGGAGCATGGGGAATTTAAGCTAAAATGGTCAACAGTGGCAGAAATGATTACTGAGTGCCTCGGGGTGCTCCTATGCATTTCTCTCTTCATCCTCCCTTACCCTATTTGACAAACAAGGAAACTGAGCCTAAGAGGGAAAGGAACAAGCCCATGCAGGACTTGCCAGTACTCGGCAGGGTTATGGATCTGACCCTTCACCCTGGCTGTGTCCAACACTTCCACACAGTCACCAGGTTCCTATTCTGAGACCCTAGCTGAGCTAGAGGTTGCTGGAAATGGCAAGAAATATCCATGAGCATCCCTGGGCTTGAGGGCTTTGTGGACTCCTTGAGGCAGGAAAGTGGTTGTTAAGATACAACTGGAATACTAAAGAATGTCTGAGCAGGGCGGGGACCCAATGAGAGGGGGGGGTCAGTTGTCTTTTACCTTGAAGGTAGGATTAGAATGGAACCCCATGACTTTCCAACATGGGAAGGCAATGGGGTGGGGCTGGGAGGGGACCCAAGACACTCGCCTGGAGTGGGCCCTGCTACCCCCGGCCTCTTTTCCAGTCTGGGCATCCTTCAGCTCCAAGGCTTCATTCAGCTCTCTGAACATCTCAAAGCGTTCACGCCCACGGATCTGTGGCAGGGAAGGAAGGGGATAAAGGAGTATTAGGCAAAGTCAGAGAACCATTTTCATGCTCTTTTGAACAATTTTCTCTTTGAAAGATGGTCCTCCAAAATGTATGGTAGCGTGCCAGTTGGGATTCTGAAGTTAGGCCAGAACCAGAAGCCCCTGTCTCCAGGTACCACTGCCTTGAAGGCAGATGTCCTAATAGTAGGAAAAGCAGTCAATAAGAAAAATAGTATTGTGAGTGTTGACTTGAAATTTAAATCTTCAACCCAATAGCATTAACTGTAAGAGTCAAGGTCAGTAACAGGGGAAAGGATGGATAGAAGAAACGGACCTAAGCTCATATTTGCTGCATTTATATCTTCTCTCATTCAGTCCCACAGAAGGGGAAGAGTGGGGTGGATTGGGTAAGACTTGGTACCTGAAGGGTAAAATATTCTCCGTCCAGTGGCTTCTTCTTTTGTGAGGGAGAGGAACTGGAGTTGCTGGGCAGTGCTGGGAAAGAGGTAAGGAAAGGGAGGAAAAAAGATGAACTTTGGGCCAGACCACACACTCTCCGCCTTCTGCCCCATCTGCTTACCTCGCTTGGTGCTCCCAGGGGGTGGCTCGGGGCGGGGCTCCCCTTTCTTGCGGGAGTTTTCTTCCTCTGTGCGCCGATCTCTCCCAGGACAGGCACAAACACGCACCTCAAAGCTGTTCCGTCCCAGCAGATTGCCACTACCCAGGTGAGGGGGAGTAAAGTGGAGGAAAGCAGGAGGCAGTGAGGAGGGTGGGCCCCGGTTCCTCCTGACTGCCCGCATCCTGCGTGGAGCCTAAGCCCCAGCTCTAGGCATGTTGAGAAGCCACAGGAGACAGGTCCTCAGGCTACAGCAAACTGGGAGGGAGCAGCAGAGCAGAGTCCGTACACAGGGACGGAGGTGAGTGGGATGAAGGGGTGGTAGCACGGGAGAGAGCCCTGGGGTCAGGTGGCCAACAGGTCCTCACCTGGAGTCCTCCAGTGTGATGATGGTGAGGATGGGCCGCCGGTTCATGCCACCCATGCAGGAACTGTTACACATGAAGTTGTAGTGGATGGTGGTACAGTCAGAGCCGACCTGGGAGAGAGGCACAAGGTAAGGCAACCCAGCCTCTGCAGGCCTGCAGCCTCTGTAAACCTCATTTTTCTCAACTATAGTATGGGGACAGCCTATGTGCTCTGCACACCTCACATTGCTGTGGGGACGTCAAATAAGAAAGCAGGAGAACCTTCTTATTAGCAAGAACCACCCCTATCTCCGACCAGGATGGCCACTGACAAACCCCTCCAGCCCCCTCCTCCCAGAGACCCCAGTTGCCAAACCAGACCTCAGGTGGCTCATAAGGCACCACCACACTATGTCGAAAAGTGTTCCTGTCATCCAAATACTCAGCACGCAAATTTCCTTCCACCCGGATGAGATGCTGAGGGGGGGCCAGACCTGAAAGCAGTAAAGGAAGAATTAGGGGCTTAGGGACTTGGGGATAGGAGACAGGGCCCTGTCCCATCTCCCACCTGCGGCTCCGACCACTCACCATCACTGTAGTCAGAGCAGCGTTCATGGTGGGGGCAGCGCCTCACCACCTCTGTCATGTACTCTGACTTTTTGTAGATGGCCATGGCGCGGACACGGGTGCCGGGCGGGGGTGGCGAGCTGACCCACAGCTGCACTGGGCAGGTCTTTGCCAGCTGGCAAAACAGTTTGTTGAGGGAAGGGGAGTACTGGAGGGAAAGAAGGGGAAAGAATGAAAGGACAGTCAGGGACAAGTGCCCAGGGGGTCAAATGAACAGACACTGCTTAAGCACTGACTGGAAGCCATGTACTGAGTGCGGGGAGGGTAGCTAGCGATGGCAGGGTCAGGGTCGACATGCCAGAAGCCTATTTACAAAAGCCAACGAATGAATGCGAGTGAAGAAAAAAGAAGAAAAATTCCATGGCTCCATGACAGATGCTGAGCGTTAGGATGGGAAGGATGAAAGCGTAAGGTCAAGGGAGCAAATTCTACTTTGAGAGAGAGGCCAGAGGTCACAGACTGAATAGGTAAAAATGGAGAAGGCCTGACAAGCCAAAGGGTGAAGAGGAATCCCAAAGTGAGGAACAGAAAACCCAGGGGGAATATAGTCGGGCTTCAAATAGTCAGGTGGAAGCCAGCCCTCGGGGCCACTGACCGTGCAGGTAACAGACTTGGCTGTCCCGGAATGCAGGAACCCTAAATGGAAACCATATCTGCCAGGGTAGGTCTTCTGGGAAGGGACAAAGGATGACAGGGGCCATGAAGTGGCTGATGCCGGGGCTGCTGGTGCAGGAGCTGCTGGTGCAGGAGCTTCATCTGGACCTTCTCCTAACCAGTTCACAATGTCTTCTGTGGACAGCAGCAGTTTGTCCACCTCTGGGGACAGTGGGGACAGCTCAGAGGACTGTGGAGTGGAGAAGCAAGAGTGAGAGGCCAGGTCCCAGCCCCCTGGCCCTGCACCCCCTGGTCCCACCTCAGTTCTTACCAGCACATTGTTTTCGGGAAGTCTGAAAGACAAGAGCAGAAAGTCAGTACTGGTTTTTGCTTTCCACAGGCCTCTGCTAGAGGGCTGGGACTGGGGTGGGAGGGGCAGTGGTTATTAGAGGCTGGCAGCGGACCTGCCCCTCCCTTGGGATCTCCACTTACAGTTTCCACAAGTCTGAAAAGGTCTCCTGGCTCAGAGGGGGCTCAATGTTGAGTTCTGACTGCTGATGCTCCATTTCAGCTCCCCTGAAGGCAGCGTGGCTGCTGTGGGGACGGGGTGGGGGGGTGGGGGTGCTAAAGTAAGGATCCAGCATGGGACACACCCAACCCTGAGGCAGGAGGGACTCCCCGCATCACCACCTTTACAGGGTCTGAGATGCAGCAGTCTCCCGACTTCCTGAGGAGCAGGGCAGTCCTTCGCCCTCTCTCTCCAACTGTTTCCTTGCCACAGTCCAGGCTGCTCCTGTCCCACCCCTCACTAGCCTCCCTGCACATCCTTGAGGAGAAAAGATAACCAGAGAAGTACTTCTTCCAACCTTCCCACCACTGAATCCACAAGCTCTCCTAGAAGTGTACCCTACTTCTGTCCTCCTTCCCATAAGGATGAAGTAACTCTCAGCCCACCCTGTCTGGGGGAGGGCACTGCCCTTGACCTCCACATTCCCCACCTGGTCCACTCACAGCGAACTCACCCCTTACCCACCCACACTCCCGTGGGCTGGCTTCTCAGCCCAGACCCCTGCCTGCCTCTTTGATCCCACCTCCTGGCTCTCTCCCTTCCCCAGTGCTTGATACTCCAGTTACACAGGCTGCTCTTCTCTGATCCTCAACTGCTCCCCAGTTCATTCAACTGGTGGCCCGACCTATTGGGAACACTGGTCCGGCCACTACTGCAGGGGAGGCTCCTCACTGAGACCTCAATCTTGAATGTCACACCCTCCTCACGGATGTTTTACCAGACCACTCAAAGGCTGCCAGCCAAACTCTGTCATCCTGTTTTATTTCTCATGGTACTTTTACCATCTGATACCTTTCCTGTTCTTCACAGAATTAGCATAATGCTGTGTATCTGGCTGGGCCTACTGTGGTGAATCATTAAGAGCCCAGGCCACGAGCAAGTTGTGAGTGGTCAGAGGAGCAAGGAGGCCAGAGGGGCAGCTCCGGTCTGGGCTAGGGTCCTCGGCCAGTCTATGTGCTGTCATCTCACCGCCTCCCAGGCCAGCTTTCAAATGGCTTCATCACACTGTCTTTCTTGATGCCAAATTTGTCATCAGCTTTGCTAAGAAACATGCTGCAAATATCCCTTTCATTAAACTTTTATCTTGCATGGCACTGACAAACATCCCCCAGCTAGCGGCTTTCTAATCTCTCTTAACATTTACCCCACCTTCATGTTGATACAGGACATGCTTTCTTACCTACTTAAAATCCTTTCACGTGGTTTATCTTATTTGTCCCAATAACCACACCTGCCACTTGACAGGTGAGGGAGCTGAGTCTCAGAGAGGTTAGGTAACTGATCCACAGTAAACAAAGGTAAGTGAATGAGCTTTTATTAGAAATGACCATTCAACCATCTAGAAGCAAGATGCTTGCTTCATCAGACTACTCTGCAGAGTTCATTGGTAATCAGCTAGGGCTACAGATGCAGATTTTGGCTGATGTAAGCCCTTCAAATGAGATATTGGCAAATGGCTACTTATCATAGCTCCCAACATTGGTGGGAGTTGGACTATGCATGTGCGTGGAGGAAGGACAGACAGGGCGGCAGGGGGAGTGATCCCCACATTTGCTCAGGAAGGGGCCCACAAGTCAGAAGTCCTATGTTTGACATTATTATGTTACTTAAATTTGCTGCATGACCATACCTATCTCAAGGGGCTAACCTTTGGCTTCTTCCTATATAGTTGAGTTTTACTTATCTGTGTGTTTTTAGTGCAAAGGGCCCAGGGGCAGCTGTAGCAGAGCCTAGGCTCTGGAGGCAGACAGGCTAGGCCTGCATCCCAGGGCTTACATTCTAATCGTTGCTTAACTTTGGGAGGTTACTTAACCTCTCTGTGCCTTTGTGTCCTTTGCTATAAAATTGTACCCTACATATTATGGGATGTGTAAAAAGAAAAGTGCCTGGCATATGAGCTCAACAAATGTTTGTTTATATGATCGTTCCATTTCATTTGTTCTGTATTGTTATTCCAGAGCAAGAGCTTCGTGATGATGAGTAGGTGGGGCATTTGTGGTACTGCCCCCAGTAATGCTAGTTCACCTCCTCCAGGGAACTCTGTTCAGTAAACATGCCCGGAGGGACTGTCCTGGGATGCTGGGCCCAAGCCTCAATCCCACTGGGAGGAAGACAGACCCATGGACAGAGGAAGTCTATCTCTCTGTCCATGGTATTAATTAAATTCTCAGTTTCTTCCTCAAAAAAGCAGGCAGTCATCACTAGGAAAACTTTTCAGAGCAGGTACTTCCTTCCCATGGGTGTGGGTATCGGGAGGCCACGATACTGAATTGTCAGAAGCTGAAATAGACCACCTGAAAGGTTGAGGAGGCTGGACAGACAGGCAGCCCTGGTGGGATGGTAATAAACTCAGCTGGGACTCAAAGGAGGGTAAGCCACCAGCTGCTTATAGGCCCTCTTAGGGCCCACTGCTTTCAGTGGCTTATCTCGTCAGTCCTCTTAAAAAGCCAGTAAGGTAGATAACATCATCACCTTCAGGAACTGAGGGTAAAGAAATTACGTCACTTACCCAGGTTCAGAAAGCTCCTAAGGAGCAGGGCCAGTGATTTGAACCTGGACTGTCTGAAGCCACACCCAAGCTCTAAATAACCATGCTCCCATGGCATCATCCAGAGTCTGGTGCAAAAAAATTCTGGCTGAAAGCTGTATGAGACTGGGGGAAAAAAACTGATTCTGGAAAGTAGTAACACAGTGTCTGCTAAGACTGAAAACACAAGCACCTTACTACTCAGTAAAAACACTTCTAATAGACTCCCTAGGAAAACAATTGTGCAGGGCACATGTCATGCTGTTGCTCATGGGAAGTGAAAAGAAACATTACTATCCATCAATAGAAAATAACTAAATGAAAGATGGTACGCTCACTCACAAGAGAAATTTACCACAGCAGCTTAAGGAAATGAACTTATCTATGTATGTGTAAGCAGATACAGTTCTAACTTATGTCGAGTAAAAAATACAACTTGCAGGAAAAAAGCAAAACATGGTAAGTAGTTTACATAAACTAAAGAGAGAAAACGCTATTGCTTATTAAACATGTATGTAAAAGCATAAAAGACAGGCAAGGATAAAAATGTACAGAACTGTGATAGTTATGGTCCCAGAATTTGTCCCAGAGAGAGGGGGATAACATCTATGTTCATGGACTGGGGAGAGAGTCAAATGAGGTTTTAGCTTTATTAACAAAAATAAGAAAAGATGGTATACTTACATGTGTAACTAAAATGCAGACACAAGTAAGATAAAACATTGTTATAATAATTTGGTAGGAACGAGTATTATGTTATATTTTTCCAAAATAAAAATATCTAAACAAGAAAAGTAAGGCTTATTACAGAAAAATTTTCAAACATATAAAAAGGTAAAGAGAATAATGTACCCCCATGTGCTCATCACCCAGTTTTAGGAGCTTGAATACCTCTAAGCCGCTTCGTCTATACCTCTAGCCACTCCCACAACCCCACAGATGTTTGAGCAAAACTAAAGTGAAATACACAAGTCTAACTATACTGCCTTGATTATAAAATGTGACAAATTTTGATAAAACTGTGACTCACCCCTACCAAGAAAAGGTACTTTCCTGTGTCCCCCCACCCCCTCCCATAAGTTATTTATTTTACATCTAGGTCTATTATCCACCCTCAATGACTATGTATGGTGAGGTAGGAGTTAAAAAGTCCATTTTCCCGCCCTAGATGTTCAGCATTTTTGAAGACTTTCTTTTCCCACTGATTTTCACTGGGACCTTTGTACAAAAATCACCTGGCTACACTTAGTATGTCTTTTCCTGAACTCTTATGTTCCTTGGTTGTTGTTCTAGTGTAGCTATATTGTAATCTTGATGTCAGGTAGTTTAAAACCTCCAACTTCATACTACTCTTTCATTTTAGAATAGGCTTGTCAATTTCTACAAACAAGCTCGCTAGGATTTTGATTGGGATTGAATCAAATCACTTCGCAGAGTACTGCCAATTTACCACCAAGCATTCAAACCACAAACATGGTATCTCTCCATTATTTAAATCTTCCTTAAATTCTTTCAGCAATATTTAATAATTTTTAATAGAGTTCCTGCCCATCTTTTGTTACATTTATCCCCGAACACACATGTTTTTGGATGCTATTATAAATTGCACTGCTTTTAAAATTCATTTTCCAATTTCAGATTCAGTGGTTGGAATTATATAAAAATGCAATTTACATATATATTGCCTCTGAAACCTGTGACGTGGCTATAATCACTGATTTGTTCTGATAGTTTTAAAATGAAGAATTTTGTGTGTACACATCTGTGAATAAAACATTTTTCTTAATTTTCCCATGGTTTTCTTTTTCTTGCCTCCTGGCTCATGCCTCCAGAAGTGGTGAGAGTCAAATCCTTTTCTAGTGCCTGATCTTAGAGGAAGAGCATTCAGTCTGTCACTATTAGGTATGTTGTGAATGGTAACTTGACTGGAGGTGCCCTTTATCGGATGGAGTAAGTTTTCCTTTTCCTAGTTTGCTGGGAGGTTGGTCTTTCTTTTTTTTGTGAAGCATGAATAGGTGTATATTGTCAACTGCTTTTTATGCTATCTGTTAAGATGATTATAAGAGTTCTATACTTTAATCTGTTAAAGTGACAAATTGCACTGACTTATTTTTGAATGTTAAATCATCTTGGCAGTCCAGGGATAAACTCTGCTTGGTCAGGATACCTTTATCATATTTATGTATTACCAGGTTTGATTTGTTAGAATTTGTCAGGTCTTTGCTTATATTAGCAGGAATATTGGTCTAAATTTTCTTTTCTTGTAATGTCTTTGTCTGGTTTTGGTGTATTATGCTGGCTTCATAAAATGAGTTGGGGAATGTTACCTCCTCGATATTCCCTCAGAATTTGTGGAAGACTAGTATTCTTTCTTCCTCAAATGTTTTAAGAGAACAAGAACAAAGGAGAAATAGAATACTAAGAGAGTACACTTAAACCCAAACCTTACAATAATTGCGTTAAGTGAAATGGACCAAGCACTTTAATGGAAAGTGGTTCAGTGGGGAAAGGAAGGCTGTTTCAACAAGCGGAGCTAGAAAAACTGGACCTCCATACATGGGAAAAAAAACAGAATCTTGTCCTCTGCCTCACACCATGAAAAAAAAACTTTAAAATGAATCAATTAATTATGGGTCATAGACCTCCGTGTAAAACCTAAACCTCTATAATAGAGGTTCTGAAAGAATATATACTAGAGGATCTTCATGACCTTGGGGTAAGTAAAGATTTTAAACAGGTCACAGCAAATACTTAGAAGGAGATGAATCTTCTGCTCCTCTAAGACACTATTAAGCAAATAGGCAAGCAACAGGTCAGGATAAAAAAACACGTTTATCTACCAAAAGACTATCCCGAATATAAAAGGAACTCCTTGAACTCAACAAACAAAAGCAAATAAACCAATTTTAAGAATGGGGAAAAGACTTGAAGAACCACTTGGCATATGACAGCCAATAAGCAGCACCCCCATGAATTGTTGAACATAGTGAACAATTAAAAAATCATGATATACCACGTTAAAAGAATGGCAACCAAATGTGAGGAAGGAAGTATCTTGCTGATGGGGGGTGTAAAATGGTACCACCACTTTAAAAAATTATCTCTGTATGAAGTTAGTATATATATCTACTCTCTGACCTGGCAATTCCAGTCTTAAAGTTATCCAAGAAACGTGAAAACACATGACCAAAGAAAAGAATTGTGCAAGAATGTTAGCAGCTTTATTCAAAATAACCCCCAAATGGAAACTCAAACGGCCATCAAACGGAGAATGGATAAACGATGATGCATTCATCCAATGGAATATACTACACAAAAAGGAGCAAAATACTGACACACGCAGTAGTAGCATGGATGAATTTCACAGACATTATGCCGTAGGGAAGCCTGTCACAAAACAGCGCATGCTGTATGATTCCATTTGTTACGACGTTCTCTACCAGGCAAAAGTAATCCGCGGTGACACAAATCAAAATAAAGATGTGGGTCAGAGACTGGGAAGAGGCATGAGAAACTTTTCTGGGGCGATGAAATGTTCTGCATTTTGATAGGCGTTACACGGTAGTTGCCAAATTCGTCTAGTTGCAGTGCGTGTAGGTGCTACCTCAATTTTGAAAAAAAAAAAGCACGTAAGTACTACGCAGTGTCTGGTACCTAGCAGGTTGAGTGGTAAGTGACCGCTGCATGAAACAACCGCACCTTAGTGATGAAGATGGGGGAGAAGCAGGTTCGCACGGGGCCCCAACGCGGGCTCCGCCGCCTCCCACAGGCGAGAACTAGCCAGGACCGGAGGGCTGCCCTTAGGCCCTCGGGGCCCGCCCCCTCCGAGGCCCGCCCCTTCCGCTTCACGACGTCCAGTCTGCGTCCGAAACTGGAATGGCTCAGCCCAAATCCAAATACAAGAAATTGTTTCTCTGCTACAAACAAACCACCCGTTGTTACACTCTTTCAATATTTAGTTCTCAAATGTACCCATTCTCGAAAATACCCAGGGTTTGCCTTCTGCACACTTAAAAAAAAACCTGTTCCACGCAATGGTAGCGTCCGCCCAGATTGCACTAGACCGGGATAGAACACACCATTCAAAAAGGGGCAGGGATTGAGGTTTGCACCAAAACAAATACTCCTTCCTTCCCCAAAGCACTAACTTAGTTCAGGAAGAAGGGGGAAAAAAACCCAAAAGACAGCAGAGTTAGGGTTAGCAGCATCACTCCGCAAGTAATAGGAACCCGTCTAAAAGAATTTCTCCCTGTCTACTTCCCCCTCATTGAATGAATATTGAGCTGCTCCGAAAAAAAAAAAAAAAAAAAAAAAAAAAAAACAGAAAAAGAGACCGGAAATGCTACCTCAAGAGGCAGAAATGTTAATGTAGAGCCAAACAATAACAGAGCTCCCGGGCCTCTCACACCGGGAATAGTTCTCCCCTCCTTCGCGGGCAAGCCTGTTGTTTAATACTTTTCACTTCCACGACGGACAGCCTTTAATTGGATTTTTTCTCCACCTAGCGGAGCCAGGGACCAGTTTGGAAATACCACTCCAGGAAGGACAAAGGTCCGGAAGTTTCGGGACCCTTAGCAGCTTGGCTTCTCGGATCACACCGAAAGAGCATTCCGGAATCGAGCCCGAGGTTCCACCAGGATGCCAAGGGCTCAAAAATCTCGAGCCACGAGTTATCAAAGTTCCGAGATCCGAAAACCTCAGCCTCTGATGCTTTGTGGGTCTTAATTTCAGGATTGCCCACACCTGGCACTGGGATGGGAGATGGGGCGTGGGGGTAAGGAAAAAACCCTTAGGTCGGCTCAGTGTTCCTCAAAGTCCCACTCCCCTCCCTGCCCAAGTGTTAGACTTTGCTGGTCCTAATATCTACACTCAGGCCTCCCAACATTGCATTCCTGTGTTGCTGCGGCCAGCGAAGCTTCCATCCCCCCAAATCGCCAAGTCCCCAATGCCCCACCCCCAGACCCCACGATTCTCCCAAGCTGAAAATACACCGAGCCGAGAGCCCATGACTCAGAGAGGACTCATCAGGCTCAGTCAAGAGCTTACCCGAACCTCAAGTGGGCGTGTCACCGTCCTGGGAAGTACGCTCCGAGGCCGGGCACCAGGTAACCCGGGAACTCAGCGGCCACCTGCAGCCAGGATGATGGCTCTGGACTTTTGAGGAGCTCAAAACTTTTAGCGCCAGTCCGAGCACATGGGAGGGGAAAACCCCAATCCCAGCAACCCCTGCGAGGCTCCTGGCACAAAGCTGGCCAGTCGCCATGACAAGTAAGGGCAAGCAATTTGCAAGCTGAGTCGATGGGAGTGGGGAGTGGGAGGGGAGGCCTCCGAGAGAGACAGGCTTCTAGCAGTATTGGTGCTGTAGCTACTTGATATTTTGGGGTGGGGAGGTTTGGCAAACCAGAGCATGAGGGCAGAATTGGGGGACACTGTTTTGGAAGAGTTCTACCTCTGTATCAAATATGAAGGAAGAAAGCAAGCCTTTGTTTGCACTTGCCATTCCCTCTTCTGGAACACTCTTCTCCCAGGTAGCTGGATAGCTTTTTTCTTTATCAGCTAAAACGTCATCATTTAGGAAGGCATTCCTAAATATCGCAATCTAAAGTATTCCCCCATTATCTATAACTCACTTTTCTCAAAAGATTTAATTCCGCTTTCTCAAAAGATTTGTTCCTTGCTTTCAGTACATAGCCCTAGGAATACAGAAACCAGGACTACTATCTTAGTAGATGATGTTGCATTTTCCAGTGCCTGGTACAGTACTGGGTGTCAAGTCAGAGCTCAATAATAAACAATTATTGAATGAATGAAAAGAGATGGAGGTCGGAGGAATTTAGCAAAGGAGCTGCATAAGAGGTTCAAAATCTTTAAACGCAAATATAACGCTTAGCACCCTCTGCAGGTGAGGGTTGGAGAGTGGGTGCTTTAAGAATAACCGCGGGGGAGCTCAGGCAAATCTCGCTCAGGCAGAAGCTTTTAGACTGTAATTCCCAGCAGCCACCAGGAGCCTCATGGCTTGATAGGAAAGGTAAACCCTGACTTGTACGTCCCTGTCCCGCCCCTCCAGCGGGTCGCCCGCGAAATCTAATCCGGTATGCGGAGGTCCAATGAAGAAGTGGGTCCAAGTCCCGCGAGAGCACGTGGCTCACAGCGACTACTGGGCTAAAGAACGCGCTGCGTTCAGCATTGGTATTTATTACCTTGTCGATCTCGCCTGCCGGGGTTTTCTGCCCCCTCCCGGAGGAAGAAGGGAGGCGCAGGTGGGTCTCCCCACTTTTGCGGTCCGATCCATAAGAACTTTGAAGCAGTCGGCCGCTCCGCAGGCAGGCCGCTGGTGGCCAGCGGGAAGAGGGTTGCCTGGCTAAGGCCAATGTGTGCCGCGCTTCCTCTGCAGTATGGAGACGCCGGAGGAGCCGCTTTTAGCTCCAGACTGCCTTCCTTCCGACGAGACCCCAGCTCCAGCCCGTCTCTCACCTCAGGCTTCCTCTATGGATGAAAACGCGGATCCAGAACTCAGGGCATCGCCACGCGATGGGGATGACCCGCCCCGGATGTCCCCAGATGCCGTGGCTGGCTTACCTGCCCAAGAGCTGGGGGAGGAGGACCGAGCTTCTCACTCCAGCCCTCCGGAAACAAGGCTTGGTACTCCTAGTGAGTTGAGCCCTCGAACCGAGGAGCAAGAACTTTCTGAAAATATGAGCCTTCTTTCAGAAGGACCGAACAAGCCAGAGTTGGAGCCGGGAGAAGCCATGGAAGGTGTATTTGAAGAGCCTGCTCCAGAAGATGAGGGATGCACGTAAGTGGTGATGGCAGTTGACTCAGGAATCTGAAGAGATTGGAAGTGTGAGATGTTTCTTATACGCCAGCTCTCAGCCCCTCTTCTCCAGGCCCATTTCCTTTTTGCTTTGGCGACCTAGGTTTGTTGTCCCCCCATCTTCCTTCCAGCACTTGGAAGTACAGCTTCTCCCAGCTACCTCGGTTTCTCAGTGGTTCCTGGTCAGAGTTCAGCACCCAACCTGAGAACTTCTTGAAAGGCTGTAAGTGGTAAGTTAGGATAATGAGGCAGGGAGAATAACCACATCCGGCATTTTCACCCCAAAACGCCCTAGTTATTCGGGAGAAGGATCCACCAAAGGTGGCAGAAGGCGGAAGAATCCCACTTGGATCTCAGCTTAAATTTCATCTAAGATTGTGTGTCTTCAACTTCCTGCAAAGTCTTGGGGGGCTTACTTGCCCCAGAGGCGGGCTCAGCTCTAGCCCTACACTTGGAAAATATGGTTCTGTCCAGCTTTCTCTTTCCTGCCTACTCCTAGGGCCCCTGATGGTTCCTGCATCTTGACCAATAGTGCTGATAACATCCTGCGGATTTATAACCTGCCCCCAGAGTTGTACAGTGAGGGTGAGCAGCTGGAATATGCAGAAATGGTAAGGGCAGGGCTAACTGTGCCCCTTCGTCAGACACTGCACATTAAGGTCTTCTGTAGAGAGAAAGTACTACCCACATGTTTCCTGATCACAGTCAGGACGTATCTTCACTGTGAGTTTCTATAGGTCGCATTTACTTCCCTGAATCTGAAGTAATTTAAAGAGAGGTTTGTCTCACCTTTAGTTAGGAATATGTGTTTTCCATGAAAGAGTAGTGGATTTCTCATGCCAGTATTTAATTGACTGGCAGATATTCATTGAATGACTACCTTATGTCAGTTACTGTGTTTGGTGCTGGGATAAAGTAGTGAATGAGACAGATGAAGAGCTGGTGTGGGAGACAGACACATAAGCCAATAAATACTAACTTTCATTACAGATTGTAAAAAGTGCTATGAAGGAAATAAGCAGAAGGAGGAGAGACCTAATTAGATGATACCATGTTACATGCAATGGGAGGGGCCTTCTGAAAAGGAGGTGTTTGAGCTGAGACCTGAAGGATGATGAGACAGTACTGTGAAGAGCTGCAGAAAGAGCATTCCAGGAACAGGCAATGATATTACAAAGACGGAGAGCTGGGAAAGGGCTTTGGGTGTTTAAGGAACAGAAAGTAGGCCAGTGTACTTGGGCTGAGGCCAGTGAGGGAAAAGTATGGTGAAGATGTAGAGGTGGCTAGCAGCCACTCATGTTGCATCTTGTGGATAGGGCATTTGGGGTTTATTTGGAAAGCCATGGGAGAATTTTAAAACAGAACAGTAAAATGATGGGTTAAGTTTAGAGAATGGATTATGGATGGGCAAGAGTGAAACTGGGGAGATTCATTAGAATGTGTATATCACAGTCCAGGTGAGAAATGATGGTGACTTGGGGTAGGGTGGTGTCAGGAGAGGTGGAGAGATGTGGATGAATTTGAAGTGTATTTTGTAGAACTCAGAGGTCAATCAGATGTGGAAGTGCAGGGAAAGAGGCAATGAAGGGTGGTGTCCAGGTTTTTTCAGTTGGGTGGATGACAGTACAATTTATTCAGAGGAGGAAACCGAGATATGAAGAGGTATTGGGACAAGTCAAGGGTTTTAGATACATTAATTATGAAATGTAAAGGGAGAAATTGGGACTGGGGATGTACTTTGAGAAGTGGGAGAGCATGTAGATGGTATCTTGGGTCTTGAGAATGGATTCAGAGTCAAGAGAGAGTCTGGATGGAAGAGAAGGCTTCAGCATGTGGAGGTGGGGTGCAGGAGAAATCACAAAAGTGGAGGCAGATAGTCATGTCTAACGCTGTCGAGAGTGCTACAGATTTAGAGAGTGGCCCGAGAAGTACATTAATGACCTTGAGCACTTCACAGGAGTGATGGAGGCACAAGCCCATTAGAGTGTGTGGAAGATGAAAGAGAGATGAATCAGGGAAACTTTTCTTGTAAAAGGGAGCTGAGCAATGGAATGGTGATCAGAGGGAACATGGGGCCAAAAAAGGGTTAACGGGGTTTTTCTGTAGTGTCCGGAATAACCCAGCAGACAGGAGGAATTGATGCCTGCCCCAGGAGAGGGCATGTAACACAGTCTGTAAGTGGCTGGCTGAGGACAGCATCCAGAGCACATGAGAGGACTTAACTTTGACAGGTGCAGAATCATTCTTTGTGGCAGGAGGAAAGGCAGATGCTTTCAGAGGCAGCTGTTTGGTGGTTGGAAGGTTTTGGTGTGTCTGTCTCTTGGCTTCTCAGTGAAGCATAAAGGGAGGTCATCAGGTGAAGGAAGAGGTCTGTGGGGGAGAGAGCAGAAGGTGTGACCGATTGGACCTGGGGAGTTAAAAACCAAAACCACCAAGGAATGTGGTAGTATTGCTACCCTCTTCTGCATCCCTGCAAAATCTGTTGCCGCCCATTTAAAGTAAGACCAGTTAGTATGGCTGTGCATCTTTCCCTAGAAAGTGAAATGACTATGGTTTCTATGTTTGTAAAATGAGGATAATAATAATAATAGTGCCCAATCTCATAGAGTTGCTGTGAGAATTTAAGGAATTAATGTAAAGTGTTTAAAACAGCACCTGGCATGTAATTAGTGTTCAATAAACACCAGCAGTCGTTGTATTAGTTAGTGTAAGCATGGAATGGAGGATAACCAGGTTGGTGGGGATTGCCAGGAGAGAAAGACAAGGGTGTCTTGAGAGTGTCCACAGGAGTATGCGTGTAATGGCTGACTAGCAGTAAAGTGGGTAAGGAAATGGGTTGTAAATGTGTTTTTGATGAAGCTGAAGAGTCATTGTAGAAATAACAGAGCAAAGGAACTGGATGGGTCAGAGATGGTAGAGAATGTGGTGATGACAAGGCCTAGAACTCAAGTATGGGAGTAGGTAGCTGACAGAGTGAAGGCCGTGGCTGTGTGTGCCGAGGAAGCCAAAGAATGGGAGAGGCCAGGGGGTTGGACAGATTCTTTCATTCTTTGAGTTGTTACATCAGCAAATTTTTTGTCGAGTATGTTCCATGTGCCAGGCCCTGTTTTAGGTGCTAGGGATCAATCAATAAACAGGTTCCTGTCCTCATGAAGCTTATATTCTAGTGTGTGAAACAGGCAATAAAGAAATAAAGTAAAGTTTATATCTGACAAATGCCATGGAGAAAAATAAAACAAGAAGGAGGATGGGGGGAATGAGCTGCAATTTTAAAAAGGATTTAGGGGAAGACATCACTGTTAAGGTCACATTTGAGCAGACACCTGAAAGTCAGAAGGGAGTGAACCAAGCTGATATTTTGGAGAAGAACATCCTGGGCAGAGGTGAAAGTCCTACTGGAAGTGAAAGTCCACCAAGAATGACAGGAGTATCTGTGGGGAGTGTCAGTGAACCAGGACAGAAGGTCTTGATAACTAAGGGACAGCAGGTGGGGAGCTAGTTTGATGGCAAGAACTGCAGAGAAGCTAGGGTTTGGGGAAGTCAGAAGATTTGGAAATGGCAGCGGGGAGCACGGCTGACATTCACCTACCTTCTGTCCCTGAGGTGTGTAGTGGGGAGGGAAGTGCAAGTTAAAGAAAGTCTGAATGGCTTCCTTAAAGAAGAAGGGTGCTCACGTCTGTTGATGGTCCTGAACGCTTACCTAACATGCAGCTCTTGTAAGGTTGGAGGCTGCAGACCTTTGAGTTCTCCGTGCAAGATTCAAGGCGCTCCAGGCCCTGGTTCCTGGAACAGAAACTGGTGTCTCAGGGCCAGGTGGTCGTGGTGCAGCCATCCAGAAAGAGTTTGGAGCAGGGATAGTTAGAAGAGCCTCTGGAAATGTGGGAGGTTGAGAATTTATTGCACATACTTGTTTAAGAGAAATGGATTGTTAAGAAGGGAAAAAGACATCATTACCCACTTCTCTACCAAATTCAGCCCTTTAAATTTTTCTGCATTCTAAATTTTTGTACTTCTAAGCTCTGTACAAGTACTGAAACTTTTTATGTGGTTGTAATTTTATAGTAGATGGTTTGTATACTGCTTTTTTCTTTTTAGCAATCATAATCCTAAATGTTTGTCATGGTGCTTCAGTCTTAACAGTTAGTATGTTTAATGGTGTATGATATTGCACTGAGTCCTTATGACAGATAATTTTCTTACCTTTTCTCCTATTTTGGACATTTGGGTTGTTCCCAGGATTTTTATATCATGAATTATTCAGTGAATATCTCCATGTGTATTGATGGAGATTCTTTTCATAAGTGAAGTTTTATGAGTAAGAAATACCCTAGGTCAGACAGAATCAATATATTCTTAAAATTTTTGTGATTCAGATAGTCAATTTGTTTTCAAAAGTTCTTGTGCCTTTTTTTTTTTTTTTGCTGTTGGTAATGTAAGTGACCCAGTTCTCACTTGTTACTTGTTGGTAATATAAGTATCACAGCCTCACTTGTTAGATATTTTCATTTTTAATGTCTGTAAGTTTAGCATTTGGAAATGGATAAAGTTTATATAGATGAGAAAATTAGGGGAGGACATTTTTGGGTATTGCCGAATACCTGTGTAGTTCTTCCCATCTGAGCTCATCAATTCCTCCCCTTCCTTCCCTCCATTTTCACAGAGCTTGCCCGGACTCCTATTCCTAACTCGCGCTACCCCAGTACTCGCCCTGCCCTGTGGCTCATGCCTGAGGCCTTCACTTCCCTCCAGCCCTCTCCGGGCTCCCCTGTGCGTCCTCTGCCCTGCCTATCTCAGGCTGGGGCGGGGGCAGGGTATCTTCATTCCCAAATGCTATATCTGGATAATTGCTTTTTTTCTTTGTAGAAACTTTTCCTTTGAAGGTTATGCTGATTCTCCCTCACTCACTGAAGTCATCAGCACCTCATAGTCCTCCTGTGCACCCCGACTCCTTCCACCACTGTGGTTACCTTGGGTATCCAAACCAGACACTGGGGTCTCATCCTCCAATCTTCATTTTCCCCAGCCCTCTGCCCTCCAGTATCCAATTAATCACCAAATCCTATCAAATCCACCTAATCATTCTAACCCATCCGCTTCTCTCTACTCCACTACCCTGGCTTTAATTGATGGTCCTGTTATTTTGTGCCTTATATTACTGGAATAGTCTCCTGTCTCCATTTGCTCAGTAAAACATTGACTGCTGATTATACACTACGTGTTGGGGAAGCTGTGGCGGGCAAGACAGACAAAATTCCTTCCTTTTCAGATAGTGATGGTGCAGAATGGGGAGCACTGAGGGCTGCGGGAACATGGCAGGGCCCCTTGCTCAGCTCAGGGGATTGGGGAAGGCTTCCCAGGGTAAGAACAGCTAAGAGACCTGAAGGAGGATTAGGATTCCACCAGGAGGAGGTGGAGGAGGCTCTTCCAGCCTTGGGCCCTTGTATGCCGGAAAGCCTACAGGTTGAGAGTTTGGTGAGTCGGCCCCTTCTGTGAACTGAGAGTCAAAACAGTGGGATGTAAAGTTCTTAAAAGCAGTGAGTACAGACTGATGAGCCATGAGAAGTGGGTAGGGGTAGGCACCTGGTAAGGGAAGGCTTAGTCAGGAGATCGGGTTTTATACTGAGGGTTATGTGGAGTCACTGAAATGTTTTAAGCAGGAGAGTGTACACAGCCAACAGCGTACAGGCTCAGCTGAGCCTTGATGTGGCTGCAGTGTGGAGAACGGATGCACAGGCTGGGGTGTGGGGGTACACGGAGACCTGGGACACATGTAGAGTGTTGTAGAAATGCTAGCAAGAGGGCAGTGGCTTTGCTTGGGAACAAAGCGGAGTGGACAGGTTCAAGAGAACCCTAGGAGGGGAATTGGCAAAATTGGGTGTTGGGTTGGTTGGATCACAAGTGGAAAGGGAGTGAAGAGTACTCGCAGTCAGATTTCAGGCCAGGAAATGGTATCTGACGCCCAGAGCGAACAGCAGGTTTAAAGGTGGCAAACGCTGGGTTCATTATGGACAGGTTGAGTTTGAGAGGTGCCTGTGGGATGATCAAGTGGAGTTTCCCACCAGGCAGCCTGGTAAATGGGTTCAGAGTGGAAAGTGGAAACTGAAGTCATGGCTGGATGACATCACCTCAGGGCCAGCAAGCAACTGACAAAGGACTGGTGTTGAGACCGTTTAAAGATTTCCTTCACATCAGTAAGAAAAAGAACAACCTAATAGGAAAATGAGCAAAAATTATGAAAAGGTGCACCTAAATGGCTAATAAACATAGATAAATGTCTACCCACAGTGGTAATGAGGGAAATGCAAATTTATACCATAATGAAATGCCATTTCACAGCTTTAAAATTGAAAAAAATTTAGCAGTCCAGCAGTAATAAGAGGATGCAGAACAACAAGCACTCTTTTATGGGAGTGTGAATTGGGATGAGTGCTTTGGAAAAAACATGACATTATCTAGCAGAGTTGGCGAAGTGCATACCATGGAGCCCAGTAATTTCCCTCTTTAGCAGAAACTGCAGAGAAGTCCTCCCGCATGTGTACCAGAACGGTAAAAGCAACTCTAGCCAAAAAATGGAAAACATCAGTGGCTGTCAGTGGAGAAGGGCAGATGGGTGGAGTCCTGCACAGCAGTGAAGATGCATGGATTAGAGCTAAATATGGCACCGTGGTTAAATCTCACGATCACAAAGGGATGAGTGTAGTGTGACACCATTAATACTAAGTTGAAAGGCATACAAGACATGGTATACATTGTTTTTTTCTCTGTATGGATATATTCCTGAAGAAGTGAATGAGAATGATAAATTCAGGATAGTGTTTACCTCTTAGGGGGGTTTCACTAGGAAGAGGTTTTAAATGTTTTGAATATTTTATTTCTTAAGCTGGGTGGAGGAGTCAGGGTGTTGTTTTTTTTTTTAATAGTTCTTTATATGTTTGAGTTGTTGAATAAACTTTTTAAAGGATCAGATGGCACCTAGTTGGTGCTCAGTAAATATTCATATCATTAGTTGCTTCTTTGTCTCTAGGTTGGGATATTGTTTGTTCCTGAGTGTTTAAAAAGCAAAAGGATAAAGCTCTGTGGCCAAATCTGATACTAAAGTCTGAGCTGACCCTTGAACATTGGGATCAAGATTCTCTTCTTCCTATTAACCTCATCTGCCTTCTGCCTGATTAAATGCCGACAGTCTCCCTCTGGCTTAAAACTGCTAGAGGTGCAAGTCAGCTTCCATTTCCTGCTGGTGATCCAGGCATTCCCACATCTCTGTCCAGGCCCCTGTCCTGCGAATGGTGGAAGGTGATACCATCTATGATTACTGCTGGTATTCTCTGATGTCTTCAACCCAGCCAGATACCTCCTAGTAAGGAATGTCTTTTGCCCCTCCCTATTTCCCCACCTCCCAAATTTCAAGGGGACCCTTTACCGTGAGATAGTTACAGACTGTAAAAGGGCTCTGGAGGAGGAAAGCTTGGTGTATGTACCCTTCAGATGGGAGCTGAGGGGGCTGGTCAGTTGGCTTCCTCCCCTTCCTTTGACAGCACTGGGGCCTCAGTGTCCGTGTCTCTCTCAGTGTGGCCAGCAGCAGCCGGGAGAACCCAATTCACATCTGGGATGCATTCACTGGAGAACTCCGGGCTTCCTTTCGTGCCTACAACCACCTGGTAGGGAACTGCCGCCCAGCGCAAGGGCTCATCCTGGCCTAGCTCTCCTTCCTTGAGGACAGCTGAGGCTTTGCTAGGCCTGTTTTCAGCCCTTTCCTACCCCCAGGATGAGCTGACAGCAGCCCACTCGCTCTGCTTCTCCCCGGATGGTTCCCAGCTCTTCTGTGGCTTTAATCGGACTGTGCGTGTGTTTTCCACGGCCAGGCCTGGTCGTGACTGTGAAGTCCGAGCCACATTTGGTAAGCATCTGTGCCTCCAAGGAGGATGAGAGAAGGGCCCTGCCATGTTCAGAGGGCCACACGTGAGGGGGTGGGAGTCACAGCATCCTTAGTACAGCTCTGGAGGCAGGTCATGCCCAGTAGGCAGAGGAGAAAACAGACTCGGGCTGAAACCTTCCAAGGTTCAGTCTGCTGGGTAAAGAAAGTGCTGATTCTCTAGAACCCGCTCTGTCAGGATGGTCCTTTTAATCTCCAAAATCTTGGTATGTCTAAGATACATATTCATTGGAGATGAAGCTGATTTCATTTTTCTATAAGCCTCAGCTTTCCATCCCTTCAACGAAAAACAGATTTGAAAGGGAAGAAGTAGGTCTTGGGCATTTTAGGTTCTTTGTGGGGGATGGAAGGATATGGGGAGCATCAGAGGTCTTCTTCCTGTCACAAATGGGGTGGGGGAGACATTGAGTCCCAGCACATGGGCTCTAGGACAGGAGACAGAGGTGTACCTCTGATTAGCTTGGTTAATGTCGGGTGTCATTTCCCTCTCCCCCACTTTGTTCCTTCCCTCCCTTTCTAGCAAAAAAGCAGGGCCAGAGTGGCATCATCTCTTGCATAGCCTTCAGCCCAGTCCAGCCCCTCTATGCCTGTGGCTCTTATAGCCGTTCCCTGGGTCTGTATGCCTGGGATGATGGCTCTCCTCTTGCCTTGCTGGGAGGGCACCAAGGAGGTATCACCCATCTCTGCTTTCACCCTGATGGCAACCGCTTCTTCTCAGGAGCCCGCAAGGTAGGGGTCACCCTGAGATTCCAAAGAGGGTGGGCGGTAGGCAGGAGTGGGAATGTAGTCTGTGTTGGGGTGGATAGCTGTGGGAAAAAATCAACTCAAGCTAAAGGAGTGCCCGTAAATGAGGGAAGCAGGGATGTCTTGGGAGGGGCAGGGCCTAGAGGGATGGACTCTAGGTTCCAGTTCTGTGTCTTCAGGATGCTGAGCTTTTGTGCTGGGATCTCCGGCAGCCTGCTCACCCATTGTGGTCTCTGAGTCGCGAGGTGATCACCAATCAGCGTGTCTACTTCGATCTGGACCCGTGAGTGACTGTGGATTCTTCCTGCTCAGGGCCCTGATGCCCCCAGGGTGAAGATGCCAAGCCAGCAAACCTTTCCTCTCTTCCTGCAGGACCGGGCAATTCCTAGTTAGTGGCAGCACTGGTGGAGCTGTCTCTGTGTGGGACACCAGCGGGGCTGGGCGTGAGGAGAAGCCGGAGCCAGTGCTGAGTTTTCTGCCCCAGAAGGACTGCACCAATGGAGTCAGGTCAACAGTTCATTCCACAGATCTTGGGGCTCATGTTGGGGAGGGAGTGAATTGCTGAGGGAGCAGGTATTCTCTCTCAGGGTGCTGACAGACCCTGCCCATCTCTTTCTCCAGCCTGCACCCTAGCTTGCCTCTGCTGGCCACAGCCTCTGGGCAGCGTGTGTTTCCAGAACCCACGGAGAGCGGGGATGAGGCGGAGCAGGAGGTGGAACTTCCTTTGCTCTCTTTGCGCCATGTCCACCTTGAATGTCAGCTTCAGCTCTGGTGGTGTGGGGGGCATCCAGATACCAGTGTCCCTGATGCTCACCAGGGCAAGAAGGGACAGGGAGGGACAGAGGTAGGTGGGGAAGAGTTTATATAAAAAGGTTTTATATACTAAAGTCTTTGTGTCTTTCTGGGGAGGCAGATGATGGAGATGAGGGCCAGAAGGGATACTAGTGGGCTCCCTTGTCCAGCAGCAGTAGGGACTGGCATATTGTTCCTTAAACCAGGGTTCAGAGGTGGGTCTAGGAGGGAGCCAATGGGGCTGCTGAGCTTGGTGTGAAGTCAAGTGAATGGGGTGGGGCTTAATGCCAGTGAGTGGTTGGTTGCTAGGCAACTAGGTAAACTGAAGGTGGGGAACCTTTTTGAAACTCCCTCCCAAGGTGGGGGCTGCACGGGTCAGGGTGAGCATAACTGAGCTGGAGTGGCAGGAGCTGTGTGTCAGACTCTTGGGTGTGACTGTGTGAAACTGTGCAGACAGTGACAAGACATGCTTACACTCAGCACAATTTACCATCATCCAGCAGCAGAGGGACCACTAAGATGGGGGGGAAGGGGCAGAAGCATCCACCTCCCCTCCCCAGACTACCCCAGGAGACAGGTAACTGAGCAGCCAGAGTCAAGGACGCACATGAAAGAGTAAAGGTGCTGAAAAACAGACGTCCCATCCTGTATTCCCGTTAGATGGAGGGCGAGGGCGAGAGTCCACTGAGCAGCAGCGTCTCTGGTTTCCTTGCTTCTGCATTTATCTGCTCTGTCTTTGGAGGTTGGGGGTATGTAGTTTGAAGCAGTGGCGCCCCCGGCATACACACTGAGAAGGGGGGCTCTGAAAAGGTACTTCTGCAGGGGATTTGATTTTGGACCTCTCAATCAAAGGGAAGGAACGGGGGAGGCCTGAGACGGATTGAGAGGGGAGAGGAATGTCACCTCTGCCCAGAGGTGCTGAAAGCGAGGGTTCTACACCCAAAAAGGCAAAACCCTCTTCCCTTCCCCCAGGATAATTGGAAACAGCCCTTCCGGCTGAATACGGGTTTGGGGTTGTAGGTACTCCCTTTCTTCTCCCAGCCCCATTTCTTCCACAGCCATCCAGAAGGGCCCAAGTTTACCCCCTAATTTCTTGCCCTCTACCCAACACCCCGATAACAGTAAAGGATCCTGGATCCTGTCACAAAAAAGGCCCCAGGAGTGGGAGTTGGGCAACGTGGGTTTGGTGTCCGGCTTTACTCCCTGTATGACCTTGGGGTCGGTCACAGGGCCTCCCGGAGCCTCAGTTTCCTCGTCATTACAATGGGAATCCTTTAGCCCCGCCCCACCCACTTCACACAGGTAGTGGAGACCATTAATTCGGCCCACTTTGTAAAGTGCGAAGCCTTCAAGGTTATACTCTGTCCAGACCTCCCCAGGCCGCGGTGGTGCCCTGGAACGGGAGCGGCGGCTCCGGGAGCGAAAGGGGCTGGGTGCCTCGGCGGGGAGGGCGAGAGCTTCTGGATTTGAGAGGAAGGTTCCAGCCGCTCAGGTGGTCCGAGGGCTGGAGGGCAGCCAGCGAGAAACTAACCCAGAGACGGACAGTCGCAGAGACAAAGGGGGCGTGAGAGACAGCGCCCGGGAGTGAGGCGGGGCTGCGGGGCCGGGCGGCTCCGGGGGCGGGAGGTGCGCGAGGTGAGGGAAGTGTGGGGGGCGTGGGCTGCGGGATCCTGCGCCCGCTCCGTCTTGAGCTCCAGCTCCGGTTTTTCCCTCCGCCATCCTCTCCCCCTCCTCTCCTCTATTTTAACTCCCCCCTCCTGGGCTCGGGACTGGTTTCCTCCCTTAGCCCGCTGCCCTCAATCCCGGCGAGGCTGGGGCTCCGGCTCGGTGCCCCCTTCCTCGCTCCCTCGCCCGGTGCCCCATGTCACCCCCGCCCCGGCCCCCGGCTCCCCGAGTCCTCCACTTAGGCCCGCTTACAAATCCCGGGGTGCTGGAGCGTGGGCCGGGGGTGCAGGGCGCCTGCAGATCGCCCTTGGAAGGGTGTTGTGGGCTGAGCGTTCTGTAGCAGGGGCGCCAGCAGAGCAGGAAGCGGGTCCGTGAGNGGCAGGGCTAACTGTGCCCCTTCGTCAGACACTGCACATTAAGGTCTTCTGTAGAGAGAAAGTACTACCCACATGTTTCCTGATCACAGTCAGGACGTATCTTCACTGTGAGTTTCTATAGGTCGCATTTACTTCCCTGAATCTGAAGTAATTTAAAGAGAGGTTTGTCTCACCTTTAGTTAGGAATATGTGTTTTCCATGAAAGAGTAGTGGATTTCTCATGCCAGTATTTAATTGACTGGCAGATATTCATTGAATGACTACCTTATGTCAGTTACTGTGTTTGGTGCTGGGATAAAGTAGTGAATGAGACAGATGAAGAGCTGGTGTGGGAGACAGACACATAAGCCAATAAATACTAACTTTCATTACAGATTGTAAAAAGTGCTATGAAGGAAATAAGCAGAAGGAGGAGAGACCTAATTAGATGATACCATGTTACATGCAATGGGAGGGGCCTTCTGAAAAGGAGGTGTTTGAGCTGAGACCTGAAGGATGATGAGACAGTACTGTGAAGAGCTGCAGAAAGAGCATTCCAGGAACAGGCAATGATATTACAAAGACGGAGAGCTGGGAAAGGGCTTTGGGTGTTTAAGGAACAGAAAGTAGGCCAGTGTACTTGGGCTGAGGCCAGTGAGGGAAAAGTATGGTGAAGATGTAGAGGTGGCTAGCAGCCACTCATGTTGCATCTTGTGGATAGGGCATTTGGGGTTTATTTGGAAAGCCATGGGAGAATTTTAAAACAGAACAGTAAAATGATGGGTTAAGTTTAGAGAATGGATTATGGATGGGCAAGAGTGAAACTGGGGAGATTCATTAGAATGTGTATATCACAGTCCAGGTGAGAAATGATGGTGACTTGGGGTAGGGTGGTGTCAGGAGAGGTGGAGAGATGTGGATGAATTTGAAGTGTATTTTGTAGAACTCAGAGGTCAATCAGATGTGGAAGTGCAGGGAAAGAGGCAATGAAGGGTGGTGTCCAGGTTTTTTCAGTTGGGTGGATGACAGTACAATTTATTCAGAGGAGGAAACCGAGATATGAAGAGGTATTGGGACAAGTCAAGGGTTTTAGATACATTAATTATGAAATGTAAAGGGAGAAATTGGGACTGGGGATGTACTTTGAGAAGTGGGAGAGCATGTAGATGGTATCTTGGGTCTTGAGAATGGATTCAGAGTCAAGAGAGAGTCTGGATGGAAGAGAAGGCTTCAGCATGTGGAGGTGGGGTGCAGGAGAAATCACAAAAGTGGAGGCAGATAGTCATGTCTAACGCTGTCGAGAGTGCTACAGATTTAGAGAGTGGCCCGAGAAGTACATTAATGACCTTGAGCACTTCACAGGAGTGATGGAGGCACAAGCCCATTAGAGTGTGTGGAAGATGAAAGAGAGATGAATCAGGGAAACTTTTCTTGTAAAAGGGAGCTGAGCAATGGAATGGTGATCAGAGGGAACATGGGGCCAAAAAAGGGTTAACGGGGTTTTTCTGTAGTGTCCGGAATAACCCAGCAGACAGGAGGAATTGATGCCTGCCCCAGGAGAGGGCATGTAACACAGTCTGTAAGTGGCTGGCTGAGGACAGCATCCAGAGCACATGAGAGGACTTAACTTTGACAGGTGCAGAATCATTCTTTGTGGCAGGAGGAAAGGCAGATGCTTTCAGAGGCAGCTGTTTGGTGGTTGGAAGGTTTTGGTGTGTCTGTCTCTTGGCTTCTCAGTGAAGCATAAAGGGAGGTCATCAGGTGAAGGAAGAGGTCTGTGGGGGAGAGAGCAGAAGGTGTGACCGATTGGACCTGGGGAGTTAAAAACCAAAACCACCAAGGAATGTGGTAGTATTGCTACCCTCTTCTGCATCCCTGCAAAATCTGTTGCCGCCCATTTAAAGTAAGACCAGTTAGTATGGCTGTGCATCTTTCCCTAGAAAGTGAAATGACTATGGTTTCTATGTTTGTAAAATGAGGATAATAATAATAATAGTGCCCAATCTCATAGAGTTGCTGTGAGAATTTAAGGAATTAATGTAAAGTGTTTAAAACAGCACCTGGCATGTAATTAGTGTTCAATAAACACCAGCAGTCGTTGTATTAGTTAGTGTAAGCATGGAATGGAGGATAACCAGGTTGGTGGGGATTGCCAGGAGAGAAAGACAAGGGTGTCTTGAGAGTGTCCACAGGAGTATGCGTGTAATGGCTGACTAGCAGTAAAGTGGGTAAGGAAATGGGTTGTAAATGTGTTTTTGATGAAGCTGAAGAGTCATTGTAGAAATAACAGAGCAAAGGAACTGGATGGGTCAGAGATGGTAGAGAATGTGGTGATGACAAGGCCTAGAACTCAAGTATGGGAGTAGGTAGCTGACAGAGTGAAGGCCGTGGCTGTGTGTGCCGAGGAAGCCAAAGAATGGGAGAGGCCAGGGGGTTGGACAGATTCTTTCATTCTTTGAGTTGTTAAATCAGCAAATTTTTTGTCGAGTATGTTCCATGTGCCAGGCCCTGTTTTAGGTGCTAGGGATCAATCAATAAACAGGTTCCTGTCCTCATGAAGCTTATATTCTAGTGTGTGAAACAGGCAATAAAGAAATAAAGTAAAGTTTATATCTGACAAATGCCATGGAGAAAAATAAAACAAGAAGGAGGATGGGGGGAATGAGCTGCAATTTTAAAAAGGATTTAGGGGAAGACATCACTGTTAAGGTCACATTTGAGCAGACACCTGAAAGTCAGAAGGGAGTGAACCAAGCTGATATTTTGGAGAAGAACATCCTGGGCAGAGGTGAAAGTCCTACTGGAAGTGAAAGTCCACCAAGAATGACAGGAGTATCTGTGGGGAGTGTCAGTGAACCAGGACAGAAGGTCTTGATAACTAAGGGACAGCAGGTGGGGAGCTAGTTTGATGGCAAGAACTGCAGAGAAGCTAGGGTTTGGGGAAGTCAGAAGATTTGGAAATGGCAGCGGGGAGCACGGCTGACATTCACCTACCTTCTGTCCCTGAGGTGTGTAGTGGGGAGGGAAGTGCAAGTTAAAGAAAGTCTGAATGGCTTCCTTAAAGAAGAAGGGTGCTCACGTCTGTTGATGGTCCTGAACGCTTACCTAACATGCAGCTCTTGTAAGGTTGGAGGCTGCAGACCTTTGAGTTCTCCGTGCAAGATTCAAGGCGCTCCAGGCCCTGGTTCCTGGAACAGAAACTGGTGTCTCAGGGCCAGGTGGTCGTGGTGCAGCCATCCAGAAAGAGTTTGGAGCAGGGATAGTTAGAAGAGCCTCTGGAAATGTGGGAGGTTGAGAATTTATTGCACATACTTGTTTAAGAGAAATGGATTGTTAAGAAGGGAAAAAGACATCATTACCCACTTCTCTACCAAATTCAGCCCTTTAAATTTTTCTGCATTCTAAATTTTTGTACTTCTAAGCTCTGTACAAGTACTGAAACTTTTTATGTGGTTGTAATTTTATAGTAGATGGTTTGTATACTGCTTTTTTCTTTTTAGCAATCATAATCCTAAATGTTTGTCATGGTGCTTCAGTCTTAACAGTTAGTATGTTTAATGGTGTATGATATTGCACTGAGTCCTTATGACAGATAATTTTCTTACCTTTTCTCCTATTTTGGACATTTGGGTTGTTCCCAGGATTTTTATATCATGAATTATTCAGTGAATATCTCCATGTGTATTGATGGAGATTCTTTTCATAAGTGAAGTTTTATGAGTAAGAAATACCCTAGGTCAGACAGAATCAATATATTCTTAAAATTTTTGTGATTCAGATAGTCAATTTGTTTTCAAAAGTTCTTGTGCCTTTTTTTTTTTTTTTGCTGTTGGTAATGTAAGTGACCCAGTTCTCACTTGTTACTTGTTGGTAATATAAGTATCACAGCCTCACTTGTTAGATATTTTCATTTTTAATGTCTGTAAGTTTAGCATTTGGAAATGGATAAAGTTTATATAGATGAGAAAATTAGGGGAGGACATTTTTGGGTATTGCCGAATACCTGTGTAGTTCTTCCCATCTGAGCTCATCAATTCCTCCCCTTCCTTCCCTCCATTTTCACAGAGCTTGCCCGGACTCCTATTCCTAACTCGCGCTACCCCAGTACTCGCCCTGCCCTGTGGCTCATGCCTGAGGCCTTCACTTCCCTCCAGCCCTCTCCGGGCTCCCCTGTGCGTCCTCTGCCCTGCCTATCTCAGGCTGGGGCGGGGGCAGGGTATCTTCATTCCCAAATGCTATATCTGGATAATTGCTTTTTTTCTTTGTAGAAACTTTTCCTTTGAAGGTTATGCTGATTCTCCCTCACTCACTGAAGTCATCAGCACCTCATAGTCCTCCTGTGCACCCCGACTCCTTCCACCACTGTGGTTACCTTGGGTATCCAAACCAGACACTGGGGTCTCATCCTCCAATCTTCATTTTCCCCAGCCCTCTGCCCTCCAGTATCCAATTAATCACCAAATCCTATCAAATCCACCTAATCATTCTAACCCATCCGCTTCTCTCTACTCCACTACCCTGGCTTTAATTGATGGTCCTGTTATTTTGTGCCTTATATTACTGGAATAGTCTCCTGTCTCCATTTGCTCAGTAAAACATTGACTGCTGATTATACACTACGTGTTGGGGAAGCTGTGGCGGGCAAGACAGACAAAATTCCTTCCTTTTCAGATAGTGATGGTGCAGAATGGGGAGCACTGAGGGCTGCGGGAACATGGCAGGGCCCCTTGCTCAGCTCAGGGGATTGGGGAAGGCTTCCCAGGGTAAGAACAGCTAAGAGACCTGAAGGAGGATTAGGATTCCACCAGGAGGAGGTGGAGGAGGCTCTTCCAGCCTTGGGCCCTTGTATGCCGGAAAGCCTACAGGTTGAGAGTTTGGTGAGTCGGCCCCTTCTGTGAACTGAGAGTCAAAACAGTGGGATGTAAAGTTCTTAAAAGCAGTGAGTACAGACTGATGAGCCATGAGAAGTGGGTAGGGGTAGGCACCTGGTAAGGGAAGGCTTAGTCAGGAGATCGGGTTTTATACTGAGGGTTATGTGGAGTCACTGAAATGTTTTAAGCAGGAGAGTGTACACAGCCAACAGCGTACAGGCTCAGCTGAGCCTTGATGTGGCTGCAGTGTGGAGAACGGATGCACAGGCTGGGGTGTGGGGGTACACGGAGACCTGGGACACATGTAGAGTGTTGTAGAAATGCTAGCAAGAGGGCAGTGGCTTTGCTTGGGAACAAAGCGGAGTGGACAGGTTCAAGAGAACCCTAGGAGGGGAATTGGCAAAATTGGGTGTTGGGTTGGTTGGATCACAAGTGGAAAGGGAGTGAAGAGTACTCGCAGTCAGATTTCAGGCCAGGAAATGGTATCTGACGCCCAGAGCGAACAGCAGGTTTAAAGGTGGCAAACGCTGGGTTCATTATGGACAGGTTGAGTTTGAGAGGTGCCTGTGGGATGATCAAGTGGAGTTTCCCACCAGGCAGCCTGGTAAATGGGTTCAGAGTGGAAAGTGGAAACTGAAGTCATGGCTGGATGACATCACCTCAGGGCCAGCAAGCAACTGACAAAGGACTGGTGTTGAGACCGTTTAAAGATTTCCTTCACATCAGTAAGAAAAAGAACAACCTAATAGGAAAATGAGCAAAAATTATGAAAAGGTGCACCTAAATGGCTAATAAACATAGATAAATGTCTACCCACAGTGGTAATGAGGGAAATGCAAATTTATACCATAATGAAATGCCATTTCACAGCTTTAAAATTGAAAAAAATTTAGCAGTCCAGCAGTAATAAGAGGATGCAGAACAACAAGCACTCTTTTATGGGAGTGTGAATTGGGATGAGTGCTTTGGAAAAAACATGACATTATCTAGCAGAGTTGGCGAAGTGCATACCATGGAGCCCAGTAATTTCCCTCTTTAGCAGAAACTGCAGAGAAGTCCTCCCGCATGTGTACCAGAACGGTAAAAGCAACTCTAGCCAAAAAATGGAAAACATCAGTGGCTGTCAGTGGAGAAGGGCAGATGGGTGGAGTCCTGCACAGCAGTGAAGATGCATGGATTAGAGCTAAATATGGCACCGTGGTTAAATCTCACGATCACAAAGGGATGAGTGTAGTGTGACACCATTAATACTAAGTTGAAAGGCATACAAGACATGGTATACATTGTTTTTTTCTCTGTATGGATATATTCCTGAAGAAGTGAATGAGAATGATAAATTCAGGATAGTGTTTACCTCTTAGGGGGGTTTCACTAGGAAGAGGTTTTAAATGTTTTGAATATTTTATTTCTTAAGCTGGGTGGAGGAGTCAGGGTGTTGTTTTTTTTTTTAATAGTTCTTTATATGTTTGAGTTGTTGAATAAACTTTTTAAAGGATCAGATGGCACCTAGTTGGTGCTCAGTAAATATTCATATCATTAGTTGCTTCTTTGTCTCTAGGTTGGGATATTGTTTGTTCCTGAGTGTTTAAAAAGCAAAAGGATAAAGCTCTGTGGCCAAATCTGATACTAAAGTCTGAGCTGACCCTTGAACATTGGGATCAAGATTCTCTTCTTCCTATTAACCTCATCTGCCTTCTGCCTGATTAAATGCCGACAGTCTCCCTCTGGCTTAAAACTGCTAGAGGTGCAAGTCAGCTTCCATTTCCTGCTGGTGATCCAGGCATTCCCACATCTCTGTCCAGGCCCCTGTCCTGCGAATGGTGGAAGGTGATACCATCTATGATTACTGCTGGTATTCTCTGATGTCTTCAACCCAGCCAGATACCTCCTAGTAAGGAATGTCTTTTGCCCCTCCCTATTTCCCCACCTCCCAAATTTCAAGGGGACCCTTTACCGTGAGATAGTTACAGACTGTAAAAGGGCTCTGGAGGAGGAAAGCTTGGTGTATGTACCCTTCAGATGGGAGCTGAGGGGGCTGGTCAGTTGGCTTCCTCCCCTTCCTTTGACAGCACTGGGGCCTCAGTGTCCGTGTCTCTCTCAGTGTGGCCAGCAGCAGCCGGGAGAACCCAATTCACATCTGGGATGCATTCACTGGAGAACTCCGGGCTTCCTTTCGTGCCTACAACCACCTGGTAGGGAACTGCCGCCCAGCGCAAGGGCTCATCCTGGCCTAGCTCTCCTTCCTTGAGGACAGCTGAGGCTTTGCTAGGCCTGTTTTCAGCCCTTTCCTACCCCCAGGATGAGCTGACAGCAGCCCACTCGCTCTGCTTCTCCCCGGATGGTTCCCAGCTCTTCTGTGGCTTTAATCGGACTGTGCGTGTGTTTTCCACGGCCAGGCCTGGTCGTGACTGTGAAGTCCGAGCCACATTTGGTAAGCATCTGTGCCTCCAAGGAGGATGAGAGAAGGGCCCTGCCATGTTCAGAGGGCCACACGTGAGGGGGTGGGAGTCACAGCATCCTTAGTACAGCTCTGGAGGCAGGTCATGCCCAGTAGGCAGAGGAGAAAACAGACTCGGGCTGAAACCTTCCAAGGTTCAGTCTGCTGGGTAAAGAAAGTGCTGATTCTCTAGAACCCGCTCTGTCAGGATGGTCCTTTTAATCTCCAAAATCTTGGTATGTCTAAGATACATATTCATTGGAGATGAAGCTGATTTCATTTTTCTATAAGCCTCAGCTTTCCATCCCTTCAACGAAAAACAGATTTGAAAGGGAAGAAGTAGGTCTTGGGCATTTTAGGTTCTTTGTGGGGGATGGAAGGATATGGGGAGCATCAGAGGTCTTCTTCCTGTCACAAATGGGGTGGGGGAGACATTGAGTCCCAGCACATGGGCTCTAGGACAGGAGACAGAGGTGTACCTCTGATTAGCTTGGTTAATGTCGGGTGTCATTTCCCTCTCCCCCACTTTGTTCCTTCCCTCCCTTTCTAGCAAAAAAGCAGGGCCAGAGTGGCATCATCTCTTGCATAGCCTTCAGCCCAGTCCAGCCCCTCTATGCCTGTGGCTCTTATAGCCGTTCCCTGGGTCTGTATGCCTGGGATGATGGCTCTCCTCTTGCCTTGCTGGGAGGGCACCAAGGAGGTATCACCCATCTCTGCTTTCACCCTGATGGCAACCGCTTCTTCTCAGGAGCCCGCAAGGTAGGGGTCACCCTGAGATTCCAAAGAGGGTGGGCGGTAGGCAGGAGTGGGAATGTAGTCTGTGTTGGGGTGGATAGCTGTGGGAAAAAATCAACTCAAGCTAAAGGAGTGCCCGTAAATGAGGGAAGCAGGGATGTCTTGGGAGGGGCAGGGCCTAGAGGGATGGACTCTAGGTTCCAGTTCTGTGTCTTCAGGATGCTGAGCTTTTGTGCTGGGATCTCCGGCAGCCTGCTCACCCATTGTGGTCTCTGAGTCGCGAGGTGATCACCAATCAGCGTGTCTACTTCGATCTGGACCCGTGAGTGACTGTGGATTCTTCCTGCTCAGGGCCCTGATGCCCCCAGGGTGAAGATGCCAAGCCAGCAAACCTTTCCTCTCTTCCTGCAGGACCGGGCAATTCCTAGTTAGTGGCAGCACTGGTGGAGCTGTCTCTGTGTGGGACACCAGCGGGGCTGGGCGTGAGGAGAAGCCGGAGCCAGTGCTGAGTTTTCTGCCCCAGAAGGACTGCACCAATGGAGTCAGGTCAACAGTTCATTCCACAGATCTTGGGGCTCATGTTGGGGAGGGAGTGAATTGCTGAGGGAGCAGGTATTCTCTCTCAGGGTGCTGACAGACCCTGCCCATCTCTTTCTCCAGCCTGCACCCTAGCTTGCCTCTGCTGGCCACAGCCTCTGGGCAGCGTGTGTTTCCAGAACCCACGGAGAGCGGGGATGAGGCGGAGCAGGAGGTGGAACTTCCTTTGCTCTCTTTGCGCCATGTCCACCTTGAATGTCAGCTTCAGCTCTGGTGGTGTGGGGGGCATCCAGATACCAGTGTCCCTGATGCTCACCAGGGCAAGAAGGGACAGGGAGGGACAGAGGTAGGTGGGGAAGAGTTTATATAAAAAGGTTTTATATACTAAAGTCTTTGTGTCTTTCTGGGGAGGCAGATGATGGAGATGAGGGCCAGAAGGGATACTAGTGGGCTCCCTTGTCCAGCAGCAGTAGGGACTGGCATATTGTTCCTTAAACCAGGGTTCAGAGGTGGGTCTAGGAGGGAGCCAATGGGGCTGCTGAGCTTGGTGTGAAGTCAAGTGAATGGGGTGGGGCTTAATGCCAGTGAGTGGTTGGTTGCTAGGCAACTAGGTAAACTGAAGGTGGGGAACCTTTTTGAAACTCCCTCCCAAGGTGGGGGCTGCACGGGTCAGGGTGAGCATAACTGAGCTGGAGTGGCAGGAGCTGTGTGTCAGACTCTTGGGTGTGACTGTGTGAAACTGTGCAGACAGTGACAAGACATGCTTACACTCAGCACAATTTACCATCATCCAGCAGCAGAGGGACCACTAAGATGGGGGGGAAGGGGCAGAAGCATCCACCTCCCCTCCCCAGACTACCCCAGGAGACAGGTAACTGAGCAGCCAGAGTCAAGGACGCACATGAAAGAGTAAAGGTGCTGAAAAACAGACGTCCCATCCTGTATTCCCGTTAGATGGAGGGCGAGGGCGAGAGTCCACTGAGCAGCAGCGTCTCTGGTTTCCTTGCTTCTGCATTTATCTGCTCTGTCTTTGGAGGTTGGGGGTATGTAGTTTGAAGCAGTGGCGCCCCCGGCATACACACTGAGAAGGGGGGCTCTGAAAAGGTACTTCTGCAGGGGATTTGATTTTGGACCTCTCAATCAAAGGGAAGGAACGGGGGAGGCCTGAGACGGATTGAGAGGGGAGAGGAATGTCACCTCTGCCCAGAGGTGCTGAAAGCGAGGGTTCTACACCCAAAAAGGCAAAACCCTCTTCCCTTCCCCCAGGATAATTGGAAACAGCCCTTCCGGCTGAATACGGGTTTGGGGTTGTAGGTACTCCCTTTCTTCTCCCAGCCCCATTTCTTCCACAGCCATCCAGAAGGGCCCAAGTTTACCCCCTAATTTCTTGCCCTCTACCCAACACCCCGATAACAGTAAAGGATCCTGGATCCTGTCACAAAAAAGGCCCCAGGAGTGGGAGTTGGGCAACGTGGGTTTGGTGTCCGGCTTTACTCCCTGTATGACCTTGGGGTCGGTCACAGGGCCTCCCGGAGCCTCAGTTTCCTCGTCATTACAATGGGAATCCTTTAGCCCCGCCCCACCCACTTCACACAGGTAGTGGAGACCATTAATTCGGCCCACTTTGTAAAGTGCGAAGCCTTCAAGGTTATACTCTGTCCAGACCTCCCCAGGCCGCGGTGGTGCCCTGGAACGGGAGCGGCGGCTCCGGGAGCGAAAGGGGCTGGGTGCCTCGGCGGGGAGGGCGAGAGCTTCTGGATTTGAGAGGAAGGTTCCAGCCGCTCAGGTGGTCCGAGGGCTGGAGGGCAGCCAGCGAGAAACTAACCCAGAGACGGACAGTCGCAGAGACAAAGGGGGCGTGAGAGACAGCGCCCGGGAGTGAGGCGGGGCTGCGGGGCCGGGCGGCTCCGGGGGCGGGAGGTGCGCGAGGTGAGGGAAGTGTGGGGGGCGTGGGCTGCGGGATCCTGCGCCCGCTCCGTCTTGAGCTCCAGCTCCGGTTTTTCCCTCCGCCATCCTCTCCCCCTCCTCTCCTCTATTTTAACTCCCCCCTCCTGGGCTCGGGACTGGTTTCCTCCCTTAGCCCGCTGCCCTCAATCCCGGCGAGGCTGGGGCTCCGGCTCGGTGCCCCCTTCCTCGCTCCCTCGCCCGGTGCCCCATGTCACCCCCGCCCCGGCCCCCGGCTCCCCGAGTCCTCCACTTAGGCCCGCTTACAAATCCCGGGGTGCTGGAGCGTGGGCCGGGGGTGCAGGGCGCCTGCAGATCGCCCTTGGAAGGGTGTTGTGGGCTGAGCGTTCTGTAGCAGGGGCGCCAGCAGAGCAGGAAGCGGGTCCGTGAGGGAGCGGGGGGCACCAGCCACCCGGGTGGTCGGAGCAGGATAGCTAGGGCAGCGAAGGCAGTCACCCCAGGGGGTGAGCGACTTTGGGGCAGTTGGTGCCCCGCCCCCCAGGCCTTGGCGGGGTCATGGGGGCCCCCCATTCTGGGCCGGGGGGCGTGCAAGTCGGGGTCCTGCTGCTGCTCGGTTTCCTGGGGCTGGTGTCCGGGCTCAGCCTGGAGCCTGTCTACTGGAATTCAGCGAATAAAAGGTGAGTGGATAGGGGTTGGGGCGAACCCCCTCCCGGCAGGGACTGTGGAAGCTCTGGGGACTTCGGGGGCTGGGTTGTCTGAGTTGAGAGGAGGCTGGAGGAGCGGGCTGGTGCTCTGATGTAAGCTGATGGGTAACCAGACAGAGGTGATCTTGGGAGCCAGACTCCTAGGTAGCACACCGAGCTGAATGGGCTTGGTGATAGCCATGTGTCAGAAGTTGGAAGACCTCAAACGGGCAAGGATTGGAAAGTTCTTGGGTAGCTGCTGGGAGAGCAGTGGAGTGGTTATTTGGGTTTGTGGGAGACTTGTGTCCTGTCGGGGGCTGGGCTTGGAGGGAGCCTGGTTAATGTCAGCTCTCAGGAGGGCCGCTGAGTAGGTGCTGCTGAGGTGCTGAGGGGAAGGCAGGGTGCCTCCTCCCAGAAGGGACTTAGTGCAGGAGACGGGAGGGAAAGGGGCTTAGTTTGGGGCCTCTGGGGCCAAGTCTCCCAAGGCTTCTTGACTCTTTTCACACAGTTTGTCTCCAAACTCCTGCCCACAGCCAGAGGGTCAGTGAGCCCTTGCAGGAAAAAGTTCCCAACCAGAAGGTATTTCTGCCTTAGCGGCTTGGGGGCTTCTTTTTAGAAGAATTCTGGAGCCCTCTAAAGCCTCCTCTCTCTCTTGTATGTGGAGTCCTGAGAACTCCATTGGCCCCTCCCCCATCTTTGCTGCAAACTCTTCCATCAGACCCTCTGTTCCCTGGCATGCTTGCTTTGCTCTGAAAAAAAAAAAAGAAAAAAAAAGGCCAGGGGTCAGATGAAAATTCAAGCCACAGAGGGTAGGACAGAATCCTTGGAAGGTCATCTGGGTCCCTTGCCTCCATGCAGATACAACTCCCCATTGGCACAAGAGTTCTGTGTTTTGAAAAATTCCTACTTCCCTGGGAGGCTGTGTGAGGCCACGGGGCAGGGGGTGGGCTTTGGAGGTCATCAAATTTGAGTCTTATTCCTAGCTCTGCTGTTTTCAGCTCTGTGGCCTTGGTCATGTCACTTAACCTTTCTGAGTTTGTATCCTCAGAATACAGCTTTTATGAAAATTAGAGGTAAGGTGTTTGAGCATGTAAGATTATTAAAGGAGAACTAGGATCATTGTCCTTCCTTTCTTTACCTGACATCCTCCCTCACATCTCCCTGTCCTGGCCTCCCTCTCTGCCTCTCTTTGGGTATAATTTCAAATGTCTTTTCTCTACTCAGTCTCCTGAGTACCTGCCAGTCTACCCGCCAGCTCCCAGCTGCAGTTTGAATATCAGGTGCAACTTGATGTTAAGTTAGGCTTATTCTGATAGGGTTGAGAGAAGGGAGTCAGGGTGTTATGGGGCTCTTTGGAATGGGTGGGAGGGAACAGGTCATTTGGGAGTCTGGGAAGATAATGAGCAGTAGTCCCCTGGGACCCAGTTCTGAGACCCTGTCTGTCATTAATGCACAGAGAGGGGCTGCAGTCCTTGACAAACAGTGGCTGTGCTCAACCAGTGGATGCTGGGCTGGGGGAGATGTGGGTTTATGTTAGCTGTGGTTAAAAAAGTCAACTCCTTCTATTACAAAGCAATAGAGCACTTTTCTAGGAAGTCTGAGACTTAGGGTAGGAAGGTTACTGAGCCGGGAAATGTCTGAGCAGCTGGACCCCAGACCCTGGTTCCCATTAGCCTCATTTATGGCCATTGCCAGGCCAGGCATTTAACTCCTGTCACATTGCCTGGCTTACTTGCAGCATTGGTCTGGATTACCCTCGACACCCCCTTCCACACCCGACCCCTTTGCCCTGAAATTCCTGAAATTCAGTGGTGGCCTGGAGGAGGGGAGGCTGCCCCCATGGTTGACTGTCATGGAATAGTGAAATCACCTGGGATGGGTGGGCTGTGTGGTTCCAGAGAGGCCAGCTCCTTGGTAACTGGCATCCTGTTGCCATGGCAACAGGGCTGGTGATGGAGCGAGAGATGGCAGTGTGCATGTGGTGAGGGCGGGCTGAAGAGTGCATTTGGGCACACCAAGAGGCAGGAGACCTCTGAGCCTGGCTTCCTGCTGCTTCCGACGTGGGCTAACAGAGCCTTCGTGCCTTCTCTGTCAGAACTGACTTGCCATTCAGACCAAGGCTGTCCTGCATGGATGTGGGGTGAGGGAGACAAAGCTCTGGGGGCCAGACCTCTGATACCTCTCCTCATTGTCCACCTCACCCTCCTTCCCATAGGTTCCAGGCAGAGGGCGGTTACGTGCTCTACCCACAGATTGGGGACCGCCTAGACCTGCTGTGCCCCCGGGCCCGGCCTCCTGGCCCCCACTCTTCTCCTAATTATGAGTTCTACAAGCTGTACCTGGTTGGGGGTGCCCAGGGCCGGCGCTGTGAGGCACCCCCTGCCCCAAACCTCCTTCTCACTTGTGACCGGCCAGACCTGGATCTCCGCTTCACCATCAAGTTTCAGGAGTATAGCCCTAACCTCTGGGGCCATGAGTTCCGCTCACACCATGATTACTACATAATTGGTACTGCTGGGCAGAGGGCAGAGTGGAGTGGGGAGGTGCTCCTAAGATCCAGAGCAGATGAGGGAGGGGACCGTTGGAGCCACGGAGACCCCTTACGGCTTCTGGTGGTGTTGGGGCCGGGGCATGGGGAAGGCTACCCTCTGGAGTGCCAACCTCTCCCTCTGGCTCTTCTCTCCTAGCCACATCAGATGGAACCCGGGAAGGCCTGGAGAGCTTGCAGGGAGGTGTGTGCCTCACCAGAGGCATGAAGGTGCTTCTCCGAGTGGGACAAAGTGAGTGGGGCTGGAACCCCATCCTGGGAGCTGAGGGAGGGTGGGATAGAGGTAGTACCATCTTGGGCAGGGGCTTCTGGCTCAGCTCCTCTCTTGGGTGTTCCCCATCTCCAGGTCCCCGAGGAGGGGCTGCCCCCCGAAAGCCTGTGTCTGAAGTGCCCATGGAGAGAGACCGAGGGGCAGCCCGCAGCCTGGACCCTGGGAAGGAGAACATGCCAGGTAGGAACCAGGGCCAGCCTCCTGCCTTCCCCAGCCTCCTCTGCTCATGGACTCCAGCTGCCCTGCCTTCACCCTTTCCCCCACCTTCAGTTTTGGGGGTGGTGATACAGGAAAGAGGAGAAGAGAGGATGGGAGGGTGGGAGGAGAATGGAAGCCAAATGAGGAGAAGTCTCAATTAGAACTAATTAGCCAAGTCAGTGCTTCAATCAGTGCTGTCGGAAGTGGGGAGGACTGCTTGCCTCGGAGCTGAAGGACTGGACACACCTGGATGCTGAGCAGGGCTAGGGGGAGGGGAGGCAGGGTCCCCAAAGGGCATTGCTGGGGAAGCCCATGGGGACCCCCAAGGTTGGGTGTTCAGATGCCCAGGTGGCTCCTTCAGCCCCTCCCCCTCTTTCCTCCACCCCTTCCCTGCCAGGTGACCCCACCAGCAATGCAACCTCCCGGGGTGCTGAAGGCCCCCTGCCCCCTCCCAGCATGCCCGCAGTGGCCGGGGCAGCGGGGGGGCTGGCGCTGCTCTTGCTGGGCGTGGCAGGGGCTGGGGGTGCCATGTGTTGGCGGAGACGGCGGGCCAAGCCTTCGGAGAGTCGCCACCCTGGTCCTGGCTCCTTTGGGAGGGGAGGAGGGTCTATGGGTCTTGGGGGTGGAGGTGGGATGGGACCTCGGGAGGCTGAGCCTGGGGAGATAGGGATAGCTCTGCGGGGTGGTGGGGCTGCAGACCCCCCCTTTTGTCCCCACTATGAGAAGGTGAGTGGTGACTATGGGCATCCTGTGTACATCGTGCAGGATGGGCCCCCCCAGAGCCCTCCAAACATCTACTACAAGGTATGAGGGCTCCTCCCACCTGACTCTCCTGGATCTAGCCCTTCTTGGGGTGCTCTTCCAGTTTAATTCACGGTTAGAGGGACACCTCTAGCATCTCCTTGGCCCCTTTACCCCTGCCCAGCTCCTTTGCTTCTGGCTGTTGCCCTTTTCTCCACTGTTAGGATTTCTTAAGACGTCCACCGAGCCACCTCCTGCCCTCTGGTTGGCCACGTGTGCCCCCTCTGTCTCTGTGTTCCTGGGTCCAGTCCCTTGGGGAAGAGAGCAGACTCAGCCTCCTCAACTGACCGTGGCCAGGGACCCTTGTCCCTGTCACCCACTAAGAGCCAGGGGTGGGAACAGTCAGTCTTTGGTTGGCACCTCTTTCTGCCTCTCACTGTTGTTCTTCTTTTCTCTCTCTCCTGTTCTTTCTCTGCCTTCTGTCTCTAGGTCTGTTCCTCTTCCCTAGCATCCCCTTCCCTACCTCTCCTTTTGCCCTCTTGGATTCTTATCCTATGCCTCTCCCATCTCCTGGGTGGGGGCCTCAAAGCATTCCTCCCCTCAGCTCCCTCTTCTGACCTCTTACCAACCACTTGCCTCAGTCTGCCAAAAATGGGAGCCTTAGGGGAAGGCTCTGGCACTCCACCCGACTCGGGGCATGGGCAGTAGGGTCTCCTCCTCTGCCCCGCCCAGGCCTTTACATACTTACTTCAGCCATTTTGGGTGGTTGGGTCACGACAGCTACCACGAGAAGAAGTGTCCTGTTTGACCAGTGGCCAATGGCAAGATATGAACCAGTCGGGACACATGTGGATTTGGTCTGATGCTGAATAGGCCACTTGGGACAGGAAGTGACTTGCTCCAGACAAGAAGTGACCAGGCCTGGACAGAAGTGGCTTGGGAAGTGGCAGAAGCAGTGCAGCAGGAACTGGAAGTGCCTTCATCCAGGACAGGAAGTAGCACTTCTGAAATAGGAAGTGGTCTGGCTGGAACTCAAAGTGGCTTAGTCTCGGGGTGGGGAGAGGTGGGTGGTTCTTACAATGTAGAGAAGGGGGAGCAGGATGAACTTCCTGTTTCAGGAGGAAGCTGGAACTTACTTGACTGTAAGAAGAGAGGGTGGGCTGAGGAGGGTTTTCCCAGTATTCAGTGGCCCTTCCCAGGATCTCCCTGCCCTTGTTCTCTGTGCTGCTTGTAGGACAGCTAAGTTGACTGCCATCTGCTGTGGCAGGCCCAATGTGTCTTGTTCTTCCCTTTCCATACCCCAGTATAATCTCTGTTAATCAACAGCGCTACCCCAGAAACCCACATGTTGTCCCAGTAACCTAGTTGGCTGTCTTGTTCATCACCTCCTCCACTTCCTACTCCCTCAAACTCAACACAGCTCCCTTCTTAGTGACCAGAATGGTGGCTTACTGACTGGTCTACTGATGTGGTACTCAGCAAGTGCCACTGTTGCCACAGTGACCAGCTTATACCCCTTCCTGCCCTCTAGTGCACAATTGGGTATTGCCTCAGTTTCCTCCCAGCTCATTTTATTAGATCAGAACTGCCCTTGGGCAAAATGTCAGCCACCTCAGTCACCAGCCAAGACGGTTGCTTTGTTCACCAGAGGTCAAGTCACCTCTCTGGTGCTGTAGTTCCCAGCTCCTTCCTGATTTTTCTAATTGCTCCTTCCAGGGAACAGGAAGTTGATATTGCCATGGGGGAGGTGGCGGGGTATGGCCGTCACCTCAATAGTTTTACTGTAAAAGGGAAATTTGGACAACAAAAACCAAAAAAAAAAAGAATAAAAAACTTCAAAAGTTGACGTGGAGGCTGGAGAATGACTGGATTTGAATTGGGACAGAGAACTGGTGCTTAGAAGGGCTTTCAGGCTGAGGGTTGGATTGCAGGAAACCAAGAGAAAGGGTACAGGGAGAGTTGGGTTGGAGTGACTGGTGGGCAGAGCATGGGGTAGGGAAAGTGTGCTGGGTGTGAGAGCTGGGTTGGGCAGCCCCGGTTAGGAGAGGGAGAGGAGCCCAGGCAGGAGCGGGAGTTGGCAGTACATCCAGTGGGGATGCATGTGAGTATATGTTCACACGCAGGGAAAGCCTGTGTCTTGCTGAAGCACCAGAGACAAGACAAGTTGCAGTCAGAAACAAAGTGGAAAAACACGTTCATGTGTTCAAGTCTATCCCCTACCACCCCTGCCCAAGCCACCTCTGGCTGGGGGACTTTTGCTGTTGGGGACTTGTGTGGGGAGAAGGGGTGTGGCTATCCTGAAGACTCAGAGACCCAAGCATCAAACTGCCTGCCCCCTGGCTCCCTGTGTAACCATAATCACCTTCCCTAAAAAGCCCAGGTGCCCAGCCCCCTAGACTCAGCCCCTTTTTCCAACCACAATAGCAGCCATCAGGAGCATTGCCAGAGCCATTCGGTAAGGGTCACAACCCCTGCCCTGCCCACCCCTCCCCTGACTTTATGTTCCCTCCTGCTGTCTCCCATCTGCCTGGAGGTCAAGGGGTCCTCCTGCCCCTCCTCTGTCCAGTGGGGCTCTAGCTCCTCCCCCCTGTCTGAGCAAGATGCCCGGGTCCTGAGAGGTGCTGGCACTGTCAGGGGGGAGTTGAAAACTGGGTTCTCTGGTTTTAGGGAACCAGGTGGTAGGCCGTCTGGAATGTACTCCTGCCTTCTGAGCCCACACTGGAGCTGCTTGAGGTGGGGAGGCTTGAGGGGGGTGGAAGGGCTGGTCCCTGCCCCTTAGTGGGGGTTGGTTGTCATGGCAACATCCCTTTCTCCACACAATGGGAAGCCCCCCTCAGCCTCCCGCGTGGATGGAGCCGACAGCCCCATCGCTGGCTATCAGCCTCAGGGACTTGGCAACCGTCACTATAGCAACCCAGAGCCCAGCAACAGGGCCCAGTGAGAAAGGGAGAGGTCCAAGGCTGGGACAGGGCTGTGTGTGAGGGGGCAAGGGAGCTGCGGGAGACCCCCCACTACCCTTATGGCTAGAGGCACAGGTGGAGAGACAAGAGGGAAGAGAAGTGGGGATAGTCTCCATGGCAAACACCTCACGAAAGCAGCCAAGACATCATAACATGCTGAGAGACAGGAAGACACCTGGGGACAGATGCACAGCTGGGGAGAGGAACAGTGCATTCTGCACAGCTCCCTTGGACACACCCCGTGGAACACTGGCATCTAGTCTCTCTGCTCCCCACCCCAATTAACAACACAGACTACAGCCTCCCACAAGTCTGGTGACTTGGGTATCTCCTGAGATATTTGAAAGCACAGTGGCTTCCACCCAGAACAACACATGCCATCCAATTCTCTTCCTATGTACAAATACTCACACACACTCCGAGGGTAAAATGACAATGAAACAAACAGAAGACATCCATTTATTCATTCATTCCATCCACATCCCTATTAATGGTTTACTTTCTTCCAGGTACTGTTTCAGGCACTGGAAGTACATGGTAAGTAAGACCAAGTTCCTGCTTTCATGAAGTCCACATTTTGGTAGGAAACAACACAGTAAAATGTCTGGTAGTGATAAATGATATAAACAGAGTAACATGATGAAGACAATGCAGAGGAACAGGGAGATGCTTTAGATTAGGAGGTCAGGAAGGTCCCTCTGAAGAGGGGACATTTAATCACATCCTTGAGTAATGTGGAGTTAAGGCATGAACTATGGGGAAGAGTATACCTGACAGAGGGAACAGGAAGTATGAAGCACAGAGGTGTGTTTGGAAACACCAAGAAGGACATCACAACCTCAGATATGTTCCACACGTGTCCTGTTCTCCAGCTCCAGCCTGTCGGGAGCAAGTCACATAGGGTCTAGAATCCACATTTAGGAAGTTGATATAACATTGTTTTCCATTTTTCCCCCTTTTGCTTTTTGGGTGTATATGAGTTGTGTTTTCCTCTACTAAAATTTTAAGTTTTGAAGGGCAAGGATGATGTTCTGAGCTTTTGTGGGGGTGTGGTATGGCTGCTGTTCTGCGCCTAGAGCTGGCGGGCAGAGTGGAAGTAAAGAACCTGAGAGGGCTGGGGACCACAGCAGTCAGAGCTGTCCCCCACAAAACTGCATGGGATTGAGGCTCTCCTGGGGGCTGTGCTGCAGGTAGAGGCTCAGACTTTGCCACCCTCCCAAACAAAAGTAGGATGTAAATTGGATTGAGGGGTGTGTGTGGGGGGTGGGGTGAGGAGCTTATGTTGAGAGTTTTAGAGAAAGGAAAATGGAGCAAAGGGTTGCAGTGGGAATTTCTATTGAGGAATGGTTGACATCATAACTGGAATTTCAGTTAGAATGAAAAATGGAGCTTCCTAAGGGACTCTATGGGGAATTGAGAACATGGGGCACCTTCATCCCCTAGGGAGAGTTTCAAGATCTGTAGGCAAGTTGGGAGAAATGTTGCATGGTGGTTGGAGACAGGGGACTGGCTGGGATGAGCTCAGAGAGTAGGGTTGGGATAGGATAAAGGATGCAGCATAAAAGAGAGTGAAAACTTGGCAGCAGGAGAGATGTTTGAAAGGTAGCAGGGAAGTGGAGCCCTGCAGGGAGTTCGAGGGGACCAGGTCCCAGGCACCCTTGATTGTCAGAGGGGCTTGAAGCATTTGGTGTCCTGTCCTGGTTCTCCCTCTTCCCTCAGTTGTCTTCAGAAACTCAGGCATCAGCTCCCTCCAACCCTAGTGGCTGGTGGTGGTAGCGGTGGGGAGATTGAGCAGCCTCAGGGGGCAGCAGCTGGCGAGTGGGGAGGAATCTGTGTGCTCAGCAAACAGCAGCCTCAGTGCCAGTTGCTGCCGCCTCCCTCATCAATCAGCCCCAGCCAAATGTTCTTGCATTCCCACCACCCCAAGGGGACTGGGGCTGGGCCAGGGTCCCCAGGGGAGTGCGATGAGGATGGGTGGAGGGTCGTGGGGGTGGTGCTTGGCTTCCCATCTCTTGGCCTCTGTTCTCTCCTCTCCTGGAAGCTCTCGGCTCTTCCTGTCATGGACTGACTTTCTCCTGGCCCCAACCATTGTGAGGGCATCAGCTACAAATCACCTGTGGGGGTCTGCTGGGGGAGAAGGGGGGAAGAGGGATGAGTCAGGGCTGAAGAAGAATCTACTCTGGTTCTCACGGGACCAGCCCAGGGTACAGGCAGCAGGGAGGCTGCTGGCACAGAGGCCCGATCCCCCCAGCTGGTCTCTCCATCCCTGACGGATGCTCTGGACAGCAAGCTGAGCTCCCCACCCTCTGAATGTCCTCTCTTCCTACCTTCCCCAAGCCCCCAGGCTTCACTCCTCTGTTGTCACCGAGATCCAGAGGTCTGGCCCCCAGCTCACCCCAAATCTGCTGCTCCCCATTGAGGACTGAGGCCTCTGGACCTTAGCCTCTGGCTCACTCTTCCCCGCCTCAACTCTTGCTCCCCTCAGGGACCCAGGCGTCCTGCCCACTCCCTTTACCATAACAACCATTCTTTTGGAGTTGCTTAAGACTTTAATATCATTTCATTAAGTCAGCTACTTCAGAGGAGGTTGAGGGCACAAAGAGACTGGGGTGGGCAAAAGAAGGCCAAGGTAGGGGGTAAGCAAGGGAAAAGACCCCCTTTCTCCGTGGAGATGGCTCTGAGAAATCAAATATTGACAGTGAGAGAACAGAAGTTATTAAATCTCGGACAGGGGTGTGTGTGGGGAGCTGTGGGAATGGCCAGATGCCTGGGTTCTGAGAGTAATGAAGGGTCTGGGGTAGGGGAGGGGAAAGCCTGAGGCTGGGAGGGTGCAGCAAGACTAAGGGTCTTGTGGGTACAGCACTTCTGCCCCTGTCTTTTGGGAGGTACTGAGTATTGCTACCATGGCTGTTTCTCAGCTGTCCCCTAGAGCCCTTGGGGACAAGACCCCCATCACAGCTGTGGTTGTCCCCCCTCATCCCTTCCCCCTACCTCCACCTCTGTTGATGAGCTTCAGCAGCGTTTAATCGGATTGAGCAGTAATTAGCAAAGCGCGATGTTTGATTACCTATTTAGCATAATGTAGGGGGCTGGGATCCCTAGGCACAGCCAAGGTTGGTGGTGGTGGGGTGGGGTGAGTCAGAAAAGAAATGGGGTCTATAACATTCCTTTCCCTGAGGGAGCCATAAGCCCTGCCTGTAAGTCTCCCCACCTCACGCCTCCCTCAAATCTTCACTCCTTTGGGACTTTTCCCTGGGGAACCTGACCAATCATGGCACCTCTCTCTGCCACCTACTGCCTGTTTGGTTAGAGGATCACCCACTTAGCCCTGCTTGCTTAGTGGCTGGTTTTGTGGTGTGGCAGGACTCAGTCCTTCAGTCCTTGCCCTCAGCAACAGGATGGTGGGCTGTGCAGGAGATGACAAATCAGAGCTCAGAAACCCACTTTAAAGATAATGGGGTGCTGGGTGCCAAGGGCAGGGGCTGTCAGTTATGGAAATTAGGAGAGGATAGGTGGGATGGTGAGGCCAAGGTTGGGTCCTGTTGTGGACCTTCAGGAGTATCAGAGACTGACACTTCCCACAGTGCCAGACTGGTATAATGAGACCTGTCAGGTGTGAACACCGACCAGGAAGGGGGAACGAACTGAGGTGGCAGCGTCTCCCCCTCCTCATCCAGCAAATAAAATGTCATCAATTTAGCTCCTCATGGAAATGTAATCAGTGGGCTCGCTGCTGGCTTTGTCTTAATTAGGCACTATTGAGGGAAGCAGGGAGGGTGCCTTCCCATCTCCCTGACTCGGCTTCCTCCCTGTATTTCCCAGGCCCCCTAAAGCTTCTCCTCCCAGCAGGTACCACTTTTGCCTTCTGGG